CAAGTATTTGCGTGAATATTTGTAGCTTTTATGATTTGGACCAAGGTGGAGGGAATTAATGATACTGTTTTCAAAATTTAGCATACAAGAATCAGAATATTCAATAATCATGAAAAATTGTGAATAGAGAGCTGAAAGTCTCAATTTTCGAAATAAGCTGAAAAAATCAATGGAAAATCAGTAGTTTTACATTTAATTAGTTGTTTTAAAAATGTTCATTTTAAAAAATTTAATTTGAAAAGCTCCATAGTTTTAGCATGGAGGAAAAGTTCAATTTAACATGTAAAAAATTTTCCTCTTCAACTTTTTGTCTTTCTTGTATCATTTCCTATGTTAAAACTCTAAAAAATTTAAAAAGAGGCAGTTACACTAAATGGATAATTTCGAGGGTATTTAATTTATGAAAAAATTAGTTTCAGATTTATTAATTTGACATAAGAGACCAGAAGAATAATCAAAAAACCATTTCTATCACCAACAGTTTTCGAAACAATTAATTTGCAAAATCGGTATAATTAATTTCCTCCACCTTGGTATATTCTAGTACCCACTTAAGTTAATACTTTCTGTATCTGTGATGCAACTTTTTTCATCAATTAACAAAACCAATTGACCATAACAACAATCATCATATACAGGTCAATAAATAACTATATGAAACAAATTTGAAAGTTCATAGCGAATAGATGATAGAGAACTGATTAATTAAAAATATTTCATATTAAAATTCAGGTCTTCATTTATTATGAGCCACATTTTCACAGAATTTTGTCAAATGGTTTACGAACAGTTCAATTTCGAAAAAAAATCGAAAAAATCAATCTGTTAATTGGGAATCGCCTTTGAAGCTCTATAACTAAAAAACCGATGATCAAAAAGAAACAAAAAAACTAAATTATATACAACTTGGTGATCTAAATAACATATGTGAATTCGAAGTGTGAGCAACAAAGCGTTCTGAAGATATTCGAATTTGAAATTTCGGCAAAATTAAAAAGCGCGAAAATTCAAATTCTCTATGGAAATTAACATGGGATTAACAAAATGATTTTTGGGTTTTTTCGATCTTAATTAATTTCTACGAAAACCACTGATCAGAATTAAATAAAAATTGGTCTCAATATAAATTACGGAATGTGCTTTCTATTAATGTTTAATTCTATTAATTAATCATGCTTTAAGAACCTGTAATTTTTTGTCAAATTTGTTCCATAAAGTTATTTATTGCCCTGTATATCTTTATCTATCTCTTTCTCTTTATCTTAATTGCTTTTTTAATTATTATTTTCTTCATTTACCCTTTCCCATGATTTGTAATTTTTTCTCTTTCTCTTCTCTCTTTCTACAAATTTTTTTACTCTCTGACTTTAATTTTTCTTCTCTTTCTTTCTTCATTCTTTCCCTTCACCCACAATCAACAACAAAATTGTATTTCTCTTTCTCTTTCTCTCTTTGCTATTTGTGATCTTATTGTGATCTTAATTGTGTCTCTTCCTTTCCCTGACTATTTCCTTACCATACCGGGTGATTGATATGGCGGAACTCCTTACCTTCCCTTTTGTGTTTTTAAGTTGATCCGGTAGCCCGAATCAACTTATTTAAATAACACCAAAATCTTTAATCAGAATCTCATTATTAGAATCAAAATAACCAGACTTTTACCTCAACTAATTAGAATCTTATAGTGATAATTTAAACCTCAATCTCGATAATTGTCTGAGCGTAATTGTCTGAGCGTAAGCGAAGACTTTACTTCGAAAATTCAAAGTTTGCTGGAACGATAGCGATCGTAATTTTGGTCCAATCTTTACCAAATTTCCAGAATAGGTTCAGATGATGGTTCTCATCACCTGTATAGTTTTTGATAAAGATTGGCCCACTCCCAAAAATTTGTAATTTTTCTTTACGCTAGATAGTGACAATGGCAATTCTTCATGGCAACGAGCAAAATGCCGCTTCTTTTAAATTTTTCTTTTTCGTTCTCTTTCTTTTCTTGCTTTCAGACTCTTTCTTTCAATCTCTTTCTTTCTTTATCTTTCTCTCAGTCTTTTTCTCTCAGTCTCGTCCTATCAATCTCTTTCTTTCAGCCTTTCTCTCTTTTCTTTTTTCTCTTTGCTCTTTATCCTTCTTTAACTATCTTTCTCGCACGCACTTCTCAGTCTCACTTTTCTGAGTCACACACGCGCCCAGACGTCACTGCCGCTTACAGTATGCCTAGTTAGTTGTCATCTTTACTGTCAAAGTCAACTAACCTGATTTATAGATAATTTTATTCCCTTTCTTATTTCCATTCATTTTCTCACAAATTATAAAAGTCAATTAATTAATTTAGGAAGTTTAACTAATAACAATAACAATTAATTCAGTAACCATTATTAGTTTTGTTCTCAGGGTAATAAAAAGATCAGCACTTCCACCGGAAAATAGATTTCTTAAATAATAGATAGACAATTAACCCACCTAATCAAACTAGTATAAAAAAGTAACAGTCGAAATAATTATCATCAGAATGTCTTCATCTCTCTGAGTATCTACATCTCTTGATCAGTCCAGTCCGTTTAGTTCATCAACTTTAAATTTACTTTTGTGTCAAATCTAGTTTCTTTTTTATCCTCCTCTTTCAATTTGTGTTCAATCTCATTTCATAAATTCTTCTAATTTGTGTTTAATCTAATTTCTATCAACCCCCTTCCTTTCTAATTATTGATCAACTATCTGAATGTAATCTAATAAAATGTATTCAACCAACAACCTCAACTTTACTTTGTCACGATTCCAATGTTACCACTCGACATCAACCCGCTCAATCAACCCGCTACCGTTAATCTAAAATTCACAAAGTGAACCAATTTCTCATCTCCTTTTTATCAATTATTTTCCCTTTCTATTATTGTTTATCGTAATTCTTTAATTTTTACTCTTAATGTCCAATCAATTCCCTTCTTTTCTTCAACCTTACAAATAAAAACACTTAAAAATTTCTAACGTGACATATCCATTTATGTTAAAATTCACTATCGTCATGTACATTTTTCTAATTGAAAATGTTAATTACAAGGAATCAATAGATGGCGATAGTGAAAACCGAGTTTTCTTAAGTGGGTACTGGAGTGTTTGTGTTGTGCAATTCAAAAGTTATGGCTTATCGAAGTTTATGAGGCCACCAGTGATTCCTCTTAAATCCCTTTTGCAAATCGATCTGAAACACGTAGACTTATAGAAGCTACATAAACAATCATTTATGGTTAAAAGGTAGGTTCTTAAAAATGACCTCGAGGAATGTTTTCATTTCTAGGCTGGATGATCTCTAGATCATATTTGAGAAGCCAACACGTCAAATAACTTTTTCTGTTGTTAATCACTATAACAATACAGTTGGTGAAAATTAGTTCGACGGTGGTTTAAGATCATTCACGCAGGTATCTCAAGGGAACAGTGATAGGTATAGTTAATCAATTTAACTTTATCAATATTTAGATAACAAAGAGCATTGAAATAAAGTGTGTTGCAGTTAAAAATGGTAAATTATCTTACTTTAGATTATGATGATGACGAGAATGATAAGAGTGATAAGAATGATGAAGAAACAATGATAAAGATGAAAAAGTAAACAAACAAGAAAATTAACATTAACAATATTTATTAGAGTAAATGAACAAAATGTCTGCCTCGGACTTCATGACATTTGTTGATTCTTTTCGTGAAATTTTCTACTGTATTCGATAACATTTGATTGGTCACACATTTAAATTTTTCGACTATCATTGATTTTAGTTGAGTTAATGTTTTAGGTTGACATTGTCGAACCTGTTCTTCAACGTAACCCGAAAGAAAATAATCGAGAGGGTTAAGGTCACACGAGCTTGTGGGCCATTCGAACTCACTTCTTCTACTTATTAATCTAAACCTGGAATAACGTTTGAGTAATGCGACCGTTTCATTGGTGCAATGAGGTGTTGCTCTATCTTGTTTAAACCAAGATCTATTAATTATGTCACCATAATCAGTTCTAGAATAAAATATTGATTTATGGATTCCGGGTAAATGATTTGATTAACATTACTGGTGAAAAAATATGTACCGATAATACAATTAGTAACCACATTGACTATTATTTTGATTGTTAGTTTTGTTGTTTAAATTAATTTTGCCTAAAGCTATAGCCTTTCGCCAAGAAATCAACCGATTTACTTATTTCATCATTATCATTGTAACATTGCGATTTCCTGTGATTTAAAAGTTGAAATCAGAACAATTGATAAATGGAGGATTCGCTAGAATCAGAAGCGGTGATTTGAACAATGATTACGTGAATTGTAAATCATCAAGTTTTACCATCAGATGATTAACTCAATATCGTATTGAGACACCATGAAGACCTTTCGAATTTTTGTAAATCGCTATTCGAGTCAATGGCTGACAGTAATGAAGGTTAAAATTAGCAATGATGACCACCCATTAAAATACTAAATTTGATTGATAAAGTTGAATTGATTAATTGTGATTATCACTGTTCACTTGTGATACCTGCGCAAACAATATGCAATGACCCTCAAACTAACTTTCGCCGGATGTATATGATCATATCTGCAAAAAATTTCATGGCAGTATGTATTACCATTCTCGAAATATTATCTAAGTAAAATTCCGGTTTGGACGAAATTGTGACCTAGCACGACATTTGAGATATGTTTAGATTAGACAGAACCTTGTTTTTATATGTTCTATCAGAATTATAACCTTATTTTAAGTTCCACAAAAGTCTTTCAGAACTTTCAGATCAATCATTTCGATCAACCTAGTATTGATGTCTCAGACGTTGCGCTAATTGCACTTTGATTTTTAAATTCTCATAAAAATTTTCAAACCTCCCTACCCAATTTAAACTAAAATATGAATAGAAAAAACAAATGTATGATTTGTATTATCACTTATTTGTCAAGCTTTATTTTGCAATATAGTTTCGAAAGTAGCTACAAGTGAGCATTCATTTTGTCTGATTAAGCATAACAATAACAGTTTTGTCCAGATGCATTAACAAAAGACGATACATAAGATTTCATTGGCAGGCCGGCACTAGTGAAATTGTTATATAATCGTGATTCTAGCTCTTTGCCTGATGATCCATTATCTGAACCATTTCCTGAACCTGATGAACTTGAGCCAGCAGCAGCACCGGACGAAGCAGCAGTACCAGATGAACCAGTTGATGATCCTGATCCTGATGATGATGATGAACCGTTGTTAGATCCTGTTGATCCATTGTTTTGTCCTTTACCAGTAGATGATCCTGAAGAACCAGCAGCAGCGGCAGCGGCAGAAGCAGCGGCAGCTGAAGCAGCAGCAGCATTAGCAGCAGTAGCAGCAGCAGAGTCATTTGCGTTGCCTGATGATGTTGATGATGATGATGATGAAGCATTGTTTCCTTTGCCTGATGAACCGTTATCTGAACCATTTCCTGAACCTGATGAACCTGAGCCAGCAGCAGCAGCAGATGAAGCAGCAGCAGATGATGATGAACCAGCTGATGATCCTGTTCCTGATGATCCTGATGATGATTGACCGTTGTTAGATGCTCCTGATCCATTGTTTTGTCCTTTACCAGTAGATGATCCTGAAGAGCAGCAGCGGCGGCGGCAGAAGCAGCAGCTGAAGCAGCAGCAGCATGCAGCAGCAGCAGAGTCATTTGCGTTGCCTGATGATGTTGATGATGATGATGAAGCATTGTTTCCTTTGCCTGATGAACCGTTATCTGAACCATTTCCTGAACCTGATGAACCTGAGCCAGCAGCAGCAGCAGATGAAGCAGCAGCAGATGATGATGAACCAGCTGATGATCCTGTTCCTGATGATCCTGATGATGATTGACCGTTGTTAGATGCTCCTGATCCATTGTTTTGTCCTTTACCAGTAGATGATCCTGAAGAACCAGCAGCGGCGGCAGAAGCAGCGGCAGCTGAAGCAGCAGCAGCATTAGCAGCAGTAGCAGCAGCAGAGTCATTTGCGTTGCCTGATGATGTTGATGATAATGATGATGAAGCATTGTTTCCTGCCTGATGAATCGTTATCTGAACCATTTCCTGAGCCTGATGAGCCAGGAGCAGCACCAGATGAAGCTGCACCAGCTGATGAACCAGCTGATGATCCTGTTCCTGATGATCCTGATGATGATGAACCGTTGTTAGATCCTGTTGATCCATTGTTTTGTCCTTTACCAGTAGATGATCCTGAAGAACCAGCAGCAGCGGCAGCGGCAGAAGCAGCGGCAGCTGAAGCAGCAGCAGCATTAGCAGCAGTAGCAGCAGCAGAGTCATTTGCGTTGACTGATGATGTTGATGATGATGATGAAGCATTGTTTCCTTTGCCTGATGAACCGTTATCTGAACCATTTCCTGAACCTGATGAACCTGAGCCAGCAGCAGCAGCAGATGAAGCAGCAGCAGATGATGATGAACCAGCTGATGATCCTGTTCCTGATGTTCCTGATGATCCTGATGATGATTGACCGTTGTTAGATGCTCCTGATCCATTGTTTTGTCCTTTACCAGTAGATGATCCTGAAGAACCAGCAGCAGCGGCAGCGGCAGAAGCAGCGGCAGCTGAAGCAGCAGCAGCATTAGCAGCAGTAGCAGCAGCAGAGTCATTTGCGTTGCCTGATGATGTTGATGATGATGATGATGAAGCATTGTTTCCTTTGCCTGATGAACCGTTATCTGAACCATTTCCTGAACCTGATGAACCTGAGGAGCCAGCAGCAGCAGCAGATGAAGCAGCAGCACCAGATGAACCAGTAGATGATCCTGATCCTGATCCTGATGATGATGATGAACCGTTGTTAGATCCTGTTGATCCATTGTTTTGTCCTTTACCAGCAGATGATCCTGAAGCAGCAGCAGCAGCGGCAGCGGCAGAAGCAGCGGCAGCTGAAGCAGCAGCAGCATTAGCAGGCAGCAGAGTCATTTGCGTTGCCTGATGATGTTGATGATGATGATGAAAGCATTGTTTCCTTTGCCTGATGAACCGTTATCTGAACCATTTCCTGAACCTGATGAACCTGAGCCAGCAGCAGCATGGCAGGCAGCAGATGATGATGATCCAGCTGATGATCCTGTTCCTGATGTTCCTGATGATCCTGATGATGATTGACCGTTGTTAGATGCTCCTGATCCATTGTTTTGTCCTTTACCAGTGGATGATCCTGAAGAACCAGCAGCAGCGGCAGCGGCAGAAGCAGCGGCAGCTGAAGCAGCAGCAGCATTAGCAGCAGTAGCAGCAGCAGAGTCATTTGCGTTGCCTGATGATGTTGATGATGATGATGATGAAGCATTGTTTCCTTTGCCTGATGAACCGTTATCTGAACCATTTCCTGAACCTGATGAACCTGAGCCAGCAGCAGCAGCAGATGAAGCAGCAGCAGATGATGATGAACCAGCTGATGATCCTGTTCCTGATGATCCTGATGATGATGAACCGTTGTTAGATCCTGTTGATCCATTGTTTTGTCCTTTACCAGTAGATGATCCTGAAGAACCAGCAGCAGCGGCAGCGGCAGAAGCAGCGGCAGCTGAAGCAGCAGCAGCATTAGCAGCAGTAGCAGCAGCAGAGTCATTTGCGTTGCCTGATGATGTTGATGATGATGATGATGAAGCATTGTTTCCTTTGCCTGATGAACCGTTATCTGAACCATTTCCTGAACCTGATGAACCTGAGCCAGCAGCAGCAGATGAAGCAGCAGATGATGATGAACCAGCTGATGATCCTGTTCCTGATGTTCCTGATGATCCTGATGATTGACCGTTAGATGCTCCTGATCCATTGTTTTGTCCTTTACCAGTGGATGATCCTGAAGAACCAGCAGCAGCGGCAGCGGCAGAAGCAGCGGCAGCTGAAGCAGCAGCAGCATTAGCAGCAGTAGCAGCAGCAGAGTCATTTGCGTTGCCTGATGATGTTGATGATGATGATGATGAAGCATTGTTTCCTTTGCCTGATGAACCGTTATCTGAACCATTTCCTGAACCTGATGAACCTGAGCCAGCAGCAGCAGATGAAGCAGCAGCAGATGATGATGAACCAGCTGATGATCCTGTTCCTGATGATCCTGATGATGATTGACCGTTGTTAGATGCTCCTGATCCATTGTTTTGTCCTTTACCAGTAGATGATCCTGAAGAACCAGCAGCAGCGGCAGCGGCAGAAGCAGCGGCAGCTGAAGCAGCAGCAGCATTAGCAGCAGTAGCAGCAGCAGAGTCATTTGCGTTGCCTGATGATGTTGATGATGATGATGATGAAGCATTGTTTCCTTTGCCTGATGAACCGTTATCTGAACCATTTCCTGAACCTGATGAACCTGAGCCAGCAGCAGCAGATGAAGCAGCAGCAGATGAAGCAGCAGGATGATGAACCAGCTGATGATCCTGTTCCTGATGATCCTGATGATGATTGACCGTTGTTAGATGCTCCTGATCCATTGTTTTGTCCTTTACCAGTAGATGATCCTGAAGAACCAGCAGCAGCGGCAGCGGCAGAAGCAGCGGCAGCTGAAGCAGCAGCAGCATTAGCAGCAGTAGCAGCAGCAGAGTCATTTGCGTTGCCTGATGATGTTGATGATGATGATGATGATTGTTCCTTTGCCTGATGAACCGTTATCTGAACCATTTCCTGAACCTGATGAACCTGAGCCAGCAGCAGCAGCAGATGAAGCAGCAGCAGATGATGATGAACCAGCTGATGATCCTGTTCCTGATGTTCCTGATGATCCTGATGATGATTGACCGTTGTTAGATGCTCCTGATCCATTGTTTTGTCCTTTACCAGTAGATGATCCTGAAGAACCAGCAGCGGCAGCGGCAGAAGCAGCGGCAGAAGCAAGCAGCAGCAGCGCAGCAGTAGCAGCAGAGTCATTTGCGTTGCCTGATGATGTTGATGATGATGAACATTGTTTCCTTTGCCTGATGAACCGTTATCTGAACCATTTCCTGAACCTGATGAACCTGAGCCAGCAGCAGCAGATGAAGCAGCAGCAGATGATGATGAACCAGCTGATGATCCTGTTCCTGATGATCCTGATGATGATTGACCGTTGTTAGATGCTCCTGATCCATTGTTTTGTCCTTTACCAGTAGATGATCCTGAAGAACCAGCAGCAGCGGCAGCGGCAGCTGAAGCAGCAGAGTCATTTGCGTTGCCTGATGATGTTGATGATGATGATGATGAAGCATTGTTTCCTTTGCCTGATGAACCGTTATCTGAACCATTTCCTGAACCTGATGAACCTGAGCCAGCAGCAGCAGCAGATGAAGCAGCAGCAGATGATGATGAACCAGCTGATGATCCTGTTCGTGTTCTGATGATCCTGATGATGATTGACCGTTGTTAGATGCTCCTGATCCATTGTTTTGTCCTTTACAGTGGATGATCCTGAAGAACCAGCAGCAGCGGCAGCGGCAGAAGCAGCGGCAGCTGAAGCAGCAGCAGCATTAGCAGCAGTAGCAGCAGCAGAGTCATTTGCGTTGCCTGATGATGTTGTTGATGATGATGATGAAGCATTGTTTCCTTTGCCTGATGAACCGTTATCTGAACCATTTCCTGAACCTGATGAACCTGAGCCAGCAGCAGCAGATGAAGCAGCAGCAGCAGATGATGATGAACCAGCTGATGATCCTGTTCCTGATGATCCTGATGATGATTGACCGTTGTTAGATGCTCCTGATCCATTGTTTTGTCCTTTACCAGTAGATGATCCTGAAGAACCAGCAGCAGCGGCAGCGGCAGAAGCAGCGGCAGCTGAAGCAGCAGCAGCATTAGCAGCAGTAGCAGCAGCAGAGTCATTTGCGTTGACTGATGATGTTGATGATGATGATGATGAAGCATTGTTTCCTTTGCCTGATGAACCGTTATCTGAACCATTTCCTGAACCTGATGAACCTGAGCCAGCAGCAGCAGCAGATGAAGCAGCAGCAGATGATGATGAACCAGCTGATGATCCTGTTCCTGTTCCTGATGATCCTGATGATGATTGACCGTTGTTAGATGCTCCTGATCCATTGTTTTGTCCTTTACCAGTAGGATGATCCTGAAGAACCAGCAGCAGCGGCGGCAGAAGCGCAGCGGCAGCTGAAGCAGCAGCATTAGCAGCAGTAGCAGCAGCAGAGTCATTTGCGTTGCCTGATGATGTTGATGATGATGATGATGAAGCATTGTTTCCTTTGCCTGATGAACCGTTATCTGAACCATTTCCTGAACCTGATGAACCTGAGCCAGCAGCAGCAGCAGATGAAGCAGCAGCAGATGATGATGAACCAGCTGATGATCCTGTTCCTGATGATCCTGATGATGATGAACCGTTGTTAGATCCTGTTGATCCATTGTTTTGTCCTTTACCAGTAGATGATCCTGAAGAACCAGCAGCAGCGGCAGCAGGCAGCGGCAGCTGAAGCAGCAGCAGCATTAGCAGCAGCAGCAGGTCATTTGCGTTGCCTGATGATGTTGATGATGATGATGATGAAGCATTGTTTCCTTTGCCTGATGAACCGTTATCTGAACCATTTCCTGAACCTGATGAACCTGAGCCAGCAGCAGCAGCAGATGAAGCAGCAGCAGCTGATGATCCTGTTCCTGATGTTCCTGATGATCCTGATGATGATTGACCGTTGTTAGATGCTCCTGATCCATTGTTTTGTCCTTTACCAGTGGATGATCCTGAAGAACCAGCAGCAGCGGCGGCGGCAGAAGCAGCGGCAGCTGAAGCAGCAGCATTAGCAGCAGTAGCAGCAGCAGAGTCATTTGCGTTGCCTGATGATGTTGATGATGATGATGATGAAGCATTGTTTCCTTTGATGAACCGTTATCTGAACCATTTCCTGAACCTGATGAACCTGAGCCAGCAGCAGCAGATGAAGCAGCAGCAGATGATGATGAACCAGCTGATGATCCTGTTCCTGATGATCCTGATGATGATTGACCGTTGTTAGATGCTCCTGATCCATTGTTTTGTCCTTTACCAGTAGATGATCCTGAAGAACCAGCAGCAGCATTAGCAGCAGTAGCAGCAGCAGAGTCATTTGCGTTGCCTGATGATGTTGATGATGATGATGATGAAGCATTGTTTCCTTTGCCTGATGAACCGTTATCTGAACCATTTCCTGAACCTGATGAACCTGAGCCAGCAGCAGCAGCAGATGAAGCAGCAGCAGATGATGATGAACCAGCTGATGATCCTGTTCCTGATGATCCTGATGATGATTGACCGTTGTTAGATGCTCCTGATCCATTGTTTTGTCCTTTACCAGTAGATGATCCTGAAGAACCAGCAGCAGCGGCAGCGGCAGAAGCAGCGGCTGAAGCAGCATTAGCAGCAGTAGCAGCAGCAGAGTCATTTGCGTTGCCTGATGATGTTGATGATGATGATGATGAAGCATTGTTTCCTTTGCCTGATGAACCGTTATCTGAACCATTTCCTGAACCTGATGAACCTGAGCCAGCAGCAGCAGATGAAGCAGCAGCAGATGATGATGAACCAGCTGATGATCCTGTTCCTGATGTTCCTGATCCTGATGATGATTGACCGTTGTTAGATGCTCCTGATCCATTGTTTTGTCCTTTACCAGTGGATGATCCTGAAGAACCAGCAGCAGCGGCAGCGGCAGAAGCAGCGGCAGCTGAAGCAGCAGCAGCATTAGCAGCAGTAGCAGCAGCAGAGTCATTTGCGTTGCCTGATGATGTTGATGATGATGATGATGAAGCATTGTTTCCTTTGCCTGATGAACCGTTATCTGAACCATTTCCTGAACCTGATGAACCTGAGCCAGCAGCAGCAGCAGATGAAGCAGCAGATGATGATGAACCAGCTGATGATCCTGTTCCTGATGATCCTGATGATGATTGACCGTTGTTAGATGCTCCTGATCCATTGTTTTGTCCTTTACCAGTAGATGATCCTGAAGAACCAGCAGCAGCGGCAGCGGCAGAAGCAGCGGCAGCTGAAGCAGCAGCAGCATTAGCAGCAGTAGCAGCAGCAGAGTCATTTGCGTTGCCTGATGATGTTGATGATGATGATGATGAAGCATTGTTTCCTTTGCCTGATGAACCGTTATCTGAACCATTTCCTGAACCTGATGAACCTGAGCCAGCAGCAGCAGCAGATGAAGCAGCAGCAGATGATGATGAACCAGCTGATGATCCTGTTCCTGATGTTCCTGATGATCCTGATGATGATTGACCGTTGTTAGATGCTCCTGATCCATTGTTTTGTCCTTTACCAGTGGATGATCCTGAAGAACCAGCAGCAGCGGCAGCGGCAGAAGCAGCGGCAGCTGAAGCAGCAGCAGCATTAGCAGCAGTAGCAGCAGCAGAGTCATTTGCGTTGCCTGATGATGTTGATGATGATGATGATGAAGCATTGTTTCCTTTGCCTGATGAACCGTTATCTGAACCATTTCCTGAACCTGATGAACCTGAGCCAGCAGCAGCAGCAGATGAAGCAGCAGCAGATGATGATGAACCAGCTGATGATCCTGTTCCTGATGATCCTGATGATGATTGACCGTTGTTAGATGCTCCTGATCCATTGTTTTGTCCTTTACCAGTAGATGATCCTGAAGAACCAGCAGCAGCGGCAGCGGCAGAAGCAGCGGCAGCTGAAGCAGCAGCAGCATTAGCAGCAGTAGCAGCAGCAGAGTCATTTGCGTTGCCTGATGATGTTGATGATGATGATGATGAAGCATTGTTTCCTTTGCCTGATGAACCGTTATCTGAACCATTTCCTGAACCTGATGAACCTGAGCCAGCAGCAGCAGCAGATGAAGCAGCAGCAGATGATGATGAACCAGCTGATGATCCTGTTCCTGATGATCCTGATGATGATTGACCGTTGTTAGATGCTCCTGATCCATTGTTTTGTCCTTTACCAGTAGATGATCCTGAAGAACCAGCAGCAGCGGCAGCGGCAGAAGCAGCGGCAGCTGAAGCAGCAGCAGCATTAGCAGCAGTAGCAGCAGCAGAGTCATTTGCGTTGCCTGATGATGTTGTTGATGATGATGATGAAGCATTGTTTCCTTTGCCTGATGAACCGTTATCTGAACCATTTCCTGAACCTGATGAACCTGAGCCAGCAGCAGCAGCAGATGAAGCAGCAGCAGCAGATGATGATGAACCAGCTGATGATCCTGTTCCTGATGATCCTGATGATGATTGACCGTTGTTAGATGCTCCTGATCCATTGTTTTGTCTCTTACCAGTAGATGGTCTTGTTTCTGAAGATTCTGAGCCAGCATTGGATGAAGCAGCAGAGGAAACAGCAGCTGTTGATTCTGGTCCTGATGGTCTTGATGATCTTGATGATGATTGACTGTTGTTCACTTCGCCTGATGAACCGTTATCTGAACTTGATGAACCTGATGAGCCAGTAGCAGCAGTAGATGAAGCAGTCGCCGATGATCCTGATCCTGCTGATTCTGATGATGATTGTCCGTTGTTAGATGGTCTTGATCCATTGTTTTGTCCTTTACCAGCAGATGATGCTGAAGAAGAAGCGGCACCGGCAGCATTATTTGTTGATGATGATGAAGCATCCTCTCCGTTTCCCGATGAGCCATCCTGTGAACCTGATGAATCTGATGAACTTGAGTCAGCAGCAGTAGATGAACTAGTTGATGTTGATTTTGCGGTTTGTCCTGCTCTGTTTCCATTTTCTTCTGATTCTACGGTTTGTTCTTCATTAGATGGATCCGAATCGGGCTCATCAAAGTCTTCGGTATCGTCATCCTCAGGTTTGTTGTCTTGGTTGGGTCCATCGAATTCCATCTCAGTTACGCTTCGCATTAGTTTACCAGCATCCATTGTCATTGTCATGCCCAATCGTCCAGGATCCATTGGGGCAGGTAAAGCGTTTACTTCGGCATACTGAGTTGTTGTTATTGCAACACAAATTAATGTAAAAAAACCAAAAATACGATTCATTTTGTTTTTTTTCTGATGAACTTGTTGATTAGAGATGAGAAGATGATTATGATTTATTTTCTTGCTTTCTCGAGTTTTTATACTTTTTTATGTCAAATCTGAACAAATAAAAGTCTTCATCGAACTGCTATTTAATATTCTTATAATTGCCTGCTGCTCTGTCAGTCAATTCTTTATCAGGAAAGAGGGTTGTTCGGAATAATAGTAAGTTTAATGTATTATTTAATCAACGGTTCGGTACCTAATTTCTAACGAATCGCATCAAACATAAAGGGAAAAGCTTCCATGATCTTTCGACAAATATTTCCTCAGTTGGAATAAGTCATAAGATCATCTGGTGATGTTTGTTATTTATTAAGGTACGAGTTGAAGCGCAGTTAAATCTTACTAATTTTCAATCCAAGTGCTAAGTTTATAATAGAAATAAATGGAAAGATTGAAATAAAATGCTACAAATTATTAAGAATCTATTGCGACTCTAGTTCAATTTGCAAACAAACCGAATGAGCAAAATAAAATCAAACGGTGGATTTTTCCAAACTAATAGTGTGAATCTACATGAACTTATTAACTATTATTATTAATAATAATTTATTATTAATCAACAAACTTTACCTCATCAGCATGTTCTACATTTAAAGGAAAAATTTTAACATTTTCGATTTAAAAGCAAAGAGAAAAACCATTTTCGCAAAATTGTTAGAGCTACTTGATGATAGATAGTGATTTCGACGAGTTTGACCAGAAACGAATAGAAAAATTTCTATTTCGAAAAAATTTGGATTACCAAATACAAATGTATAAGTTGGATAATAATAATCTATTTCGATACTACACTAATACTCACATTTTCGCGGTCGATTGATATGAAAATAAAAGAATATCATTACATCATATTCGATTATCAGAATCTTATCTCTCAATCAATGATTTAAAGGAAAGGTGAAAAATAATCATCAAAAAAGTGATGAAAAACGAATAAATAATTCATGGGGATGAAATTTGAAGAGCAATAAGCTACTTATCTTTGGACAAAATTAACTTCCTCAGAATTATTAGTTTCCTCAATTAGAATCAGCCATATGCTTGTCTAATATATTTCATCATTGGAAGTTAGTAAATCGTTTTCCATCAAATAAACAGTCAAATTGTATACAAGGAATATGCGAACATATCACAAGCAGTCGACCATTAGCTCAATTCTAACCACTGGACTATCATTGAAACTCTCATGAAGTTGATTTGATTTCCAAAGTTTTCATGTTCAAGTTTTATGAGCGCCATCTAAAATTGCACCTTTGAACCAACAGCTTTAGAATTTAAAAAAGTAATGTTTTTATTTTCTCTCATTTTTTCTCAATTAGTTTATGAAACTAACGATTAATTAACATTCCAATTTTAAATACATAATTGAAATATTGTTACAGTTTAGTTATAAATCATAAGTGTTGAATGGTTATTCCGATTACTGATCGATTGTTATCCTTACACGTGTAACTACATATAATTGACAAGATTTACCCTCTTTGTTTATCTATGCAAATCTATAATCTAAATTGAGTTAAGCTAAATTGTTTATTTTTCTGTTTTTTGTTTATTTAATTTTATATATTTTCTTTTAATTGTTAATTGTTTAAAATGCTTAGCAGAGGTTTTACCTTGTTTTCTGTTGTTCTGTGTAATCAGTCATGTTTGTTTTTCCATGATATGATTGGCATGCGTTGAAACTTCATAAAGGTTGAAAGAGAAACGAAGCCAAGGAATAGATTAATTGTTTACATAACCATTTTGATCATCTTTTTGGTTCACTCTCTCTCTCTTTTTTGTGTTTTTGGTTCTCTTTCATCAGCAAATAATTTTCCTGTTAATCAATTGATTTGAAAAGATTGATCATGAAAGAGTACAGGGTGTAAAATAAATTACGTTAATGGGGAAAGTTTGTTCCCTGCACAATAGACTTAAACTAATTTGGTGCCCAATTTAGAGTTGTTCCGATCTGAAAAATTGATCGATCAGATCGATCTTTGAGAAAGAAAAACTGATCGATCTCAACTTTCAGAAAATCGATCACCTGAAAAACCACGTGATTTTAGATAAAAATTCAAAACTTAAAAAACTGATTAATAAATTTTACTTAATATGTTCGTAAGACCCTTACGGTCGTCAATGTGACTGGGCAACCTCGAGTGTTGCCCTCAGCGGTCACACTTTTATTCGACCGCTTTGGAATACAGTCTTCTATAAATTCAGTCTTCTAGAAATTCAGTCTTTCAAAAATTCAGTCTTCTAAAAATTCAGTTCTTTAACTTTTCATGGATCCGAATGAACAGAAAATACAGAGTAATAGGAAGGTTAGAGGATGAAGAATAAAATAAATAAATTAATCACCATAAACAGAGGAACCTTCTACTTACTTAATTAAGAAATTAGACAGCAAAAATAGACAGTATACAAAAGAAAGAGAAAATTTTCAGCCTTTTCCGACCGCCAAATTTGAATTAGAAAAATCGAAATTGATCGATTTATTAGCGAAAATTGATCGGATCGATCGATCAACTGAAAATCTGAGATCGGAACATCTCTAGCCCAATTGATCAAGAAACAATTAAATCAAGCGCCAACTATTTGAGCTGTGGCTAATGATTTAGAATAATTAGCTGGCCATAGCTGGCTATTAGCCGATTAGTCAATTAGCCACTTATCAAAGTGGCTAAGATGGATTGATACAACAATTAAACCTAAAGTTAACTAATTAAATCAATTTCTTTGATGCTCAAAGGTGCTTTTAGTCTATGGTACATCCAAAAACAAAAAGAAATTTTGAGATCGCAACTTTGATTTGCGCTGGTATTTTTGGTTTGATTGTTGATTTTTTTCTAATCAAAAATTAATTGTGTGTTTTTAGATAATCAAGTTAAAACATTTTCAAAATTTAACAAATAGATTTTCCTTTCATCTAAATTCATTTTTAAATAGATTTTTAACCAATATTGATTGAGTTTAGAGTTTAGGTAGCTAAGTTACTTAAAAACCAAGTGATTGTAAACCGGCTAAGCGAACGCGACTGCTGGCTAAAGCCACTTGGCTCTGAAAGTGGCTATTAGCTAGCTAATGTTCATTCACTACGGTATCTACTGTATTTATTTTACACCCTGTAAGAAGCAAAAGAGAGCAGAGTTCACCTTTTTTCAGCGGAAAAAAGTTTAACTAAATAAATGCAAAAACTCATTTATTATAATTTATATTTATTTATTAATAGATTATATAAAGATTTCTTTCTGGCCTAATGAATAGTTTTTGTTAAATCAATTTCGAAGTTAAAACTTCAGGTCACTTTTTAAACTGTTATATCCAGATAACAAGATAGATAGATAGAAATAAAAAGAGAGATATTGATAATTGATTGTTGTCATTTTGATAGAGATTGAGACGAGCACTTTGACAAATAATGGCTAAATTTCAAATAAGAAGATAGTGAATACACGAGTTACCATCCATGTCCCCATTGGTGACCCCAGTGTTCCATGTGGGGCATATAATGATGCTCCTTTTTGTGGCAATTTTCCTTTATTACGATATTATCACCACCTTGTTTGTTAGTGTTCAAGATCATTTGACTGTGTTTATCTTTGATCACAATATTGGTTCCTTTTTGACCACAATCTACAGTGAAAAAGATGATTGATGAAACAATTAATAAAATGACAAACATTTTTGAAATCATATTGACTATTGATTGATATTGTTGATTAAACACTGAAATTAATGAAAAATTCACTGAAAGTTTATCTAACTCAATATTTTTGTTGATTGTTTTGGATACAACGATTGAATGAACTTTCGATTTCGAGATTCTAACGTTTAAATACCATTTCGATTTGTTTGTCACTTGCAATGAGCTAAGCCTATTCTTTCGGGATTTATGTTAACACCTACAAGCACAATCTTTATTTAAGGTCAATTTTATTTTAGATACAATTTAATGTTCAACAATTAGATTAGTAAACATAATTTTAATGATGATTAGTGTGAGGAAGTTATTTATTTTTCTTAAAATGTTATCGATATGTTTGATCAGTGAGTTAAATTTTGTTGGGCTTAACTTTCACTTGAGTTCAGGTAGATATAAAAACAACAACAATCATTATATTAATTAGCATCATCATAATAGGTTAATGTTATTGTAATTAACTTCCGATGATATTTAATCAATTTAGATAACCTGAAAATTAAACTAATAGTTAAACTTATATATCTTATTAGGTTGGTGGTTAATAATTTGATTGGTGTATTGACAAAAGTGTTAATTGTTTGGGCTCACTTTTTGTTGATCACTTCAACTTTTACTCCCTTTCTTGCAATTATTTGAAATTAAATGATTGTGATTTTCATTATTGAGGCTCATAAGAACTAATAATGATTAGTTGATTGTTCAAATGTTTAGTTAATTACTAACATTAACAATATGTTTATCTTTTATTTTACCACAAGAAGGGAAAACATCAAAAATAAATGTTCACAGTTAATAATTTCTTTAATTATCTTAGTTTTTTTAACTATGATAAAGTTTAATTGTTCAACAACTAATCAATTAAAGTTCAAATTTAATGTTAATTGTTGATTATGCGTAAACTTTTGTAAAAAATTGGATTGATTAGGTTTCATGATTAACATTAATCACTCAAAAACAAACATTCAAATGTTATATTATTTAATTAAGACAAAAAGTCATTAGGATTTAAATTGACATTATCGTTCCTTGATCGTTGATTAAAATTAATTACAGCCAATTAGATTGATTTTTGTTAAATGAGTGTTAAGTACTTAAGTGTTAAATGTTGATCAAGGTAAGTGATCATAATTACTGCTGTTCCGTAATCCATTTAAAGTAAAGGTTAATTGTTAATTAAGTTCGATGAATAACTAATTCGATTTTGTTTTGATTTAGCTGCCCTTTCCTATTAATTCACAGATCTTTATCTCTTTTTGTTTCTGGAAATTGAACTTTCACTTATCACCTATCCTTTTCTTTTAATCTGAATTTCTCATGAACGGGTCATATGAACCTAAGCTCATATTGGTATATACCAATAGCTCATTAGCTCTTGTTGAGATTTTGATCATCTTCAAGTCGAAGCTTAGTTTCATAAGTTTTACTGATTCGAATTAATTTTTCGTTTTGATTCAATTAAATTTTCACCATAATCAAAAATTGAAAACTCCTTTGCAAATTTTTTATTTATCTCTTTCTCTCTCCCTAAATTTACTAATTCGATATCGACTGTTCTGTCTAATTAATTTTCATATTTCATGTATCTTACCAATAGTAATAACATTTAAGCCCTGTTTAAATGTATCTTCAACAATTATTAGGATCTTTGGTTAAACATATCTGTTATTTGTTTCATTGTGTTTATATCAATGAAAACTTGAGCTGATCAAATCGAGTTTGATTTTTTTCTTGCTAACATATAAATGGTTACATATCGTTTGTGTTTTGTTTGATGCGATTTTTGTCATTAGCTGATTAAAAAAAATTTCTTTTAGTTGTATCATCTTTATCCTTTTCACCACCATAACAAAATCATCATGATTCGGGTAACTTTTTGATAATGGTCAAGGTTTCTTACGTTTTTTGCATAATCTCTATTTGTTTCTATGTTTAATTCAAATTGCTTGTGTTTTGTTGTTTAATTATCAATGTACACATTGGCTATTGATCAAAGAGTAAAGAGTCTCTCTACTCTTTGCTAATGATTAAATTTTTTAACTCCCCCACTCTGATGACCTTAATAATCAATATAATTTTAAGATATTCACCTTTGTTTAAATAATTTCCTATGTTGTTTTCACCTTTAGGATACCTTTTATTATCATCTTTTTATTAACCTAAATTACAATTAACAATTCGCCCAATCTGATTGTGCAGAAATTAAGCTTCCAGCTGAAAATGTTGAAGTGAAATTAGAATCTCTCTTGAAAACCGTTGCAACTGAGGAAAAGCTTCGTCAAGAGGCTCGATTAAATTTGCACAATAAACGAAGGGCATCATTGACAAATTTAAATGTCTTCGATCCTGGGGAAGGTGAACCACAAAAAGGCGCCAGTCGGTACCTTTTTTTATTTCATTTTCTTTTAGAGCAGATCAAGATCTATCAAAATATGTGCAGAAAAGTTGGTCCTCAGGGTAGTCCAAAGATGCTATTCAAGTCGGAATGAAAAAAAACATTGTTTTCTGTGTCTAACGAGCCTCACGTTCAAAAAAAATTGCAAATATATATTTTTCTTAAAGAACAGCTCAAGAGCTTTCGTTTGATACCAAGATCAGCTATATAAGTATATTAATTCGATCACAAAACAATTCAGACCATTTTCCTGTTTTTGGCGAATTTTACGGAATCCGCGAGTCAGATCAAAAAATTAAAAAATACGTGTTGATTTGTTTTAACTCATAAGTTCGAAAATTAAATAAAATCACATCAAAAAGTTTAGGCTAAAAACAGTCAAAAATGCCTGATGTCCTTTGATTTAATCAATGCAAACAGAAACAGTGATGGAAAAATCGGTGATAGAAAATAGTTTTTTTTTCAATTTAAACACTGGAAGGATTTACTTTTTCTGATTAGAGATTTAATCGGCAATAAAATCTTTTATTATGTCAGAATCAGAAATCATTTCTCCACTCGATTCACCGATTTCATGGATAATTGTTGTTGGTACTTCTATTATGGTTAATGAGCGACTTGATGATTGAGAATCTTCTTGAACAATTCTGCTCCTTTTACTTGGACTCGTAATGACAATGTCAGAATCTCGTTTAACTGCATTGACACCTGATTTAACGCTAACAATTTCCAGGTCATCATCTTTATCTCCGGTGTCACTTTTACTTGTTTTGACTGTGTCACCACTTTCAACATCGTAAACAATACAATCCCCATTTCCAGGAGAATCATCAATCTCTTTAGAATCTTCTTGAATCATTATAACATCGGTAGTTTTAGTGTCTTCATCTAGATTGTCAAAACCTTCAAGTTCGTCATCAGCATCAGTTTCCACTTCATGAGTATCACCATTTGTTTGACAAGTTGGTGTGATTTGAGCTTTGTCAGAATTTCCTTCTATCGGTTCTTCGGGAGGTTTCTCAGTGAGCTCTTCAGTCTTCTCCTTTTCTTGATTCTTTTCCTCCTCTGGACCTGAACTCTCAGTGGTTACGATTTCGTGCTCATTTAGAACATTTTCATCATTCTCAGTATCTTCGTATGTGAATGGGTTGGTGGCAGAAGTTTCATTGATTCTTAATATTTTCATAGGGTTAACTATTCCGTTGAGAGATCTTAATGATTCAAGACAAAATTCTCTTATCAGACTAGAAGAATCAATATTGAGAGCTTTTTGCAGCAAGTTCAGAGTAATTCCTATGGGTATGGTTTCATCTTCTTGGCTAAGTAGAACTATCAATGAAATTAGTTCCTTACGAGTCTCAGGTTTCCCATAAAAAAGCGACGAAGATATAGAATATCTGTAAAGTGAAAGTACTTCTTCGAGGACAAATGTCGCAAAGAAAGTCACCTGATCCAAAGGTAAGAACATGAAACAATTCTTTACAAACGAATTACTCGCTGAAAATTAAGAAAATGGAAACAATTAGAATCGTTATAATTTGATGAATAATACAAAAAGAAATAAATACCTTTCAAACAATTGAAATGTAGCGAATTCAACTTATCCTTAATGAAGGGCGTTGATAAGGCGGCATCAGAATTTTTCCCTGATTTATCCTTTTTGATGTTTCTCAGCTGAAAAGGAAAAGAAAATTGAATTAAATTCTTTGCTATGAAACATCCAGTCTTTTCATTTTTACCTCAATTTGTTTCTGTCCAAGCTTCATATCCATCATAAAGTGTTTGAATAGAGAATCAGCTGAATCTTTATCAATCATTATGTTAGGTCCAGTTACGGTAAACCATTGATTTAATATTCGATAGCAATGATTTTTCAAATCAAAGATACACAATTTGGACATGACTGCTGGTGATGATGACGTTGTTAAAGTAATAGACTTTTGTAACGAGTCACTCGTGTTCGTAGCAATTTCCATGATTCCAATTAAACTTGCATAGATTAACTTTGAATGAATAATTAAAACTTTTCGTAGGACGGAAATTAATTGCTCTAAGACACTGAGAGAATGCATTTGAATGGACAAGATTGTTAATGCAAGACAAGGATCTTTAACATAAAGAACATCAAGTTTAACCAATGAAGCTCGAGAGATTAATTGTAATATACAAGTTACAGGAACTAAATAACCGGTGGTACAAGGATCTTGTAGCATTTTACAGGCGGCAAGAGCCAAAGCTTTGTAACTTTGTTCCAATTTCATTCGGCCGATAAAATTTTCCTTCTCATGTGAGTTCAATAAGGTTGGTAGTTTTTTATTTGTAAGCTTGAGACTTTCAAATGCTGTAAGAGAAAACGGAAAAAAGTAGAAAAATAAGTAAACCAAACGTGGATTGAATAATAATCAATTGAACTGATTGATTGTTGACTATACTTACGAACTCCCCATGATGAAAATCTATCCAAAATAGAGTTCATATTGTCGATAACGGAACAAAAATGATCAAACCAACTATTTTTAGCTGTTGCATTTGACTGACCGGGAGTCGGACAATAATGAATATTAGCCAATATTGAGACCAAAATCTAAAGAAAAAAAAAGAAGGAAATGAAAATTTAGAGTTGATTTGTTAATTGCAATTGTTGACAGTTTATATTCACCTGAAAACCACTATTGCAACTTTGAATATTTTTACTGATGAAAGTGTTGATAATATTTTTTTTAGAGCCACAAGATCCGGGATATTTGGTGACACAAGTAAGAAGTACTTTATAAACTAAAGCTGAATCACATTTCTCAATGATATAATTGTTACGGCAAATATATTCAACTATTTGACTGACAATGTGAAGACTTAATTTACGTCGAGTATTGTCATCGTTATGACCTACTAACAGTAGTTTATCCAAGAGTTTTAGAGCGATATTTTTACCAGTCCAGTTTGATCCCTAGAAAAGATTGAAAGAGAAAATGAAATTACAAATATTCACCAGGATTGGAAGGGTGAATCTATCGAAAAGGGAATGGATCATGAAGGAAATAAACCTTCCAACCTCAATGTATGAGACACAAAATGAAGCCCAATTTTTGAAATTCTCTCCTAAAAGTTCATTTGGCATTTCCATGAGATATTCTTGAATAAGCAGAAATCCATGTACCCTAAAAAAATAGAAAACAAGTGAAAATTGTTAATCTTCAATCTCAACATGCTGATTGGAACAAAAACAATTAAGACTTACCTTCTAGTTGGTGAAGAAAGAAGAGAATTAATATGAGACTGGAAGGTATCATGATATTTATTATCCTGAAAAATCAATTCGATCGAAAGAAGAAAAAAAGAAACCAAATAATAAATAAACCGAAAAGCTGAAAATGAGAATAAGAAATTCACTCACCCGATTATAAATAGATTTAAAGTTCCTATTTTGATTTATTAACTGGATTGTTTGATTGAATGGGACAGAAGAGTGGAACACTTGACTTAGAAAATCAGCCATAATTAATTAATTAATTTCACTCTGTTTGAACTTCAAACTTTGAAGAATCACGAAAATCAAAATAAGAAATCAAGCCAACAAAAAGTTTTTAAAAAACTTTTCGTCAAAAGCGTGGTTAAGTCTGTTTGTACAACTATGGATTCGATATTCACAACAAAATCACAACAAATGAATTTAAAGTCAACTGATTTGCTGAACACATGTTCCAAATCGATAGTATCGATCGATTAGATTTTCGATACTATCGATTGGTCAGATTTTGAATTGTTTTGTAAATGTAAACATTGATTTCCCTTCATTTGGTGATTGTTACTTTGATAATCAAAGTTTGATTGTCTCTTTCAAATTAATTTAAATGATGGCCAACATGGCAGAATTTACTCCTTTATTTTGTAAAGCTATTTCCCTTCTCCATTCAACATCTAAATCATCAACTGACCAATTGAAAAGTCTTCTCGATGAATGGTTAGCCCTCAAAACGGTAAGAAAATCTTTTTTTTATCTTATTTTGTCAAAATTATCCTACTGATTTCCTAATTTCTTTTTCCTCTTTTTTTTATAACAGGATAAAAATGTAACTATTGATTCTATTAAACCAACTGAGAGTAAACTTAAAGAATCACAGAAAAGACCAGCTAAGGTAATAATAAGAATTATCTATTTTCTTTCGTTTGATGTTCCTTCTTTTTGTACTTCCATTCAAAGATTAATGGCTTTTTCTCTTTTCTTTCCTTCCTTTTCAGCCCATTCCTGCTGTTGTTAAGGCTAAAAAAAGTAAATCTCATTCATCTCCATCGTCACGTAATCAAAGCCCTGAGCCCAAGTCAAAAGCTTCACCCACTCAAATTACTCCATTGGCAGAAGAATCAATTGTCTCAATTAAAAAGGAAGAAGATTCAGATGCTACTGATATTGAGGATGAATCAACGGATGCTGGTGAATTTGCTCTTGAAATGGGACTTGCTTGTGTTGTATGTAAACAATTAGACTTTGCTCCAGGTAATCAGCCTGTTGAATGCTCTGAGTGTCACAATTTGTATCATCAAGAATGCCATAAACCACCGATTACAGACAGAGATGTCAGTGATCCTCGAAATGTCTGGTATTGTGCTAAATGTACTAAAAACATGGAGAAGGCATCGAAGAAGAATGCTCGTTCCAACAACAAAAGTCCAATTTTAACAAGTTCGGCATCATTTCAATCAGCCGTTAATAGTGGACGTGATTCAGCAATCCAATTGATTAAGGCAAAAGCTGCAAATGAAAGTTTATCATCAACCAGTAATAGTAATATAATGCAACCCTTTAAAAGAGTTGAAATGAAAATACCACAATCACCTGGAGCCAGTGGATCAGGTGGTAATTCAAATCCAACTACACCTACCAAACCTGTTGGCTTAGCTGGACTTGCGGCTAACCTTTCGAGGACAACATCGTCTCCATCGATGCCATCAAGTAACAGTTTATCAAATAGTTCATCAAACAAGGAGTCTAGTAGCTCATCTTCATCTAGTTCAATTCCCACTTTCAACTTATCTTCATCATCTTCCACGTCCAACTCATCATCATCTTCATCGCCTGTTACTCCATCAACCCATCCTTCAGCCAATTTATCTAAAGCAGACAAAAGGATAGCTCAGATGAAAAAGAAAGCAGCTAATAAAAAGAATCTACTAGCTTCAATCAAGTGATGAAAGATTAACTAACAGCTCTTCATCTCAACTAATTTCTACTAATTGATTTATTATCAATAGTAAATCCCAGTGGCTGAGATAGAGAAAGAGATAGAGAGAGATATATAGAAACTTATATGTGATTTTGGCTAGAGAACAAGGTTAATGTGTAACAATTAACTGACCTTGTCTAAACGCTGGACAATTTGAGCCAACTACAATTTAACCTTTCTGATTTTAATTTTCCTTACAGTCCGAAAAGTGACCTACTAAGCGGAAAATGGAATTATGTCTCCAATTAAGAACTTGAATGTTTTATCTGTCAACTGATTGTCAATCGCACTGAATTGCTTTTCCAGAAATCAATAATCAAAATAAGGGTTCAACCTTTTTTTCCGAATAGGTTAATTTTCTCATTTTTCTAACTAATTTTTACCAAGCGCGTTGATCAATTTCCATGGGTGATTCCTTTTTCTAATTGCAATTGCTTGAATGGCTCATAAGAGAATAATTGTGACTCTGGGTAATAAGATAATTAATAATTAATTTATTATATTTTTGTCATTTCATAAAATAAATTCAATGATATCCAATGTTTAATTGAACATTAGTTCCGCCAAGAAGAATCAGGTGGACCATTAGTAGTAAAAAAGGTCCCCCCTACCACTCCATTGGTATCTTTAGAAAGGTTTATCGTTAATTAGCTCCCAATTGAGATTGCAATTCTTTACTACCATCATAAAGATTTTGTTTGGGTGTAAATTGATTTGCTGCAGAAGTTGAGGTTAAAGTAACTCCAAGGAGAGTAATTAGAAGCATGAGGACTTTGAAAAGACTGAAATTCATAATAATTAGTCTTAATATTTTCAAAACAAAAGAAATGAAACTTAAACGATTGTTATCGATGGAAATAAAGTTGAATTAGACTGGTGAAAATTCAATTGAAAACTCATCCTTTTTATATCATCCAATCGACATTTGAACAAATATTTTTCACAGCAATTGTATTTGCAATTAGATAAAATTCAAGGTAAGATACAAGTGAACAGAGAGAAGGCAGAGTTTTTTACTTATTAGAATAGAAAAAGGAAAACCATCGATAGTTAATTAATTAGCTTGTGCTTTTAAATTAATAGGTTTCACTTTTAAGGTTCACTAAGTGTGATGAAAGACAATAAAATTCTAATAATTTGATTAACGATTTATTCAGAATTAGTTAGTAATTGTGAATACTCATAACTCACAATTTGAAAAGGTTTTGATATCACTTTCATGGGCAATCAGCTCATCAAACAATTCAGGAAAATAAACTAATTAATTACCATTTTAACCTAAAAAATCAGCTAATTTTGTTACATCATTTATTCAGCTTTAAGATGATGTAGTGTTAAAATGATTAATTACTGTAAATTAAGTTGAACAATTAATTAATTCTCTCTCACTTTTTACTTGTACCAACAATTCCCTTGAAAACTCGTCCTCATGTGAATACGTGGAATCGACAATTGAATATACTTTAATTTAGGAACGAGTATGTCCACTCAAATGTGGCCTCCGTCAAATCCAAGATAGATAATTTTGCATGAAATCGACTCAAAACTCTCCTAGTCTTTCCAACTGTTCTTGAAAAGGTCTAGTTAGGCCAAACTAGACTTGTGAAGTTCAGAATCTGAACCAAATATTATTGACGAGTCAAAATTAGTAGTAGTAGTAAAAGGCAACATTATAAACCACTTTTCTCTTTCTTTTTCTCTTTCTTTTTGGACATTATAAGCCACCTAAGGTTGTCCTTAGACTAATAGTGGTGGCGTCCTTGTAGTATATAAGTATGTGTATGGGATGAATGATTATTAGACTGAAAATGGTATTAATTGAAGACATTGTAGTGAACAATATTGTAATGTCATTCAAATTGAATGATAAATTAGACCGTGTCAAGGTGAAGGAGAGTTTTCCATCTGTTGATTATCCAAAGCGTTTTTCTGGTGGAATATTAAAGTTGGATGGTGGTTGTTTATTGATATTTAATTCTGGAAAGATTAATGTTACTGGTGTTAAAAGCTACGAGGCAGCATTTAATTTAATTGAGAAATTTTGTGACATTTACCCAGATAATTTATATAAAACTGAAGCAAAAGTAGTGAATATTGTGGCCCATTCAAGGTTAATTACGAATTTCATTTATAGTAGACTTGATTCATTCCCATATTGTTCTTACGGACCAGAGTTATTTCCTGGAGTTCATGTTAAAGTGGACAATTCAAACGTAATATTTATAATATTTAAAAGAACTGGACGAGTTACTGTGACGGGAATTCGTGATATAATTGAATTAAATAAATACTTTGATCTATTCAAACGGATATATAAAAGGTAACTATGGATAAAGCAGAGGATTACCGTGTTTGGTGTAAGAGAGTACTTTTCATGGTACAAATCTTGGTTCTGGTGTCAATGTTGATTACATCGATTGTCAATATAATAATGAAGACGGGAAACTTGTCATTATGGACAGCATTATTAGGATCATCTCTTGGATACATTTTACCTACACCGCGTTTTAGGAGTAATAAACATGAAGAACGAAAGTCAACAACTGATGTATCAGCCCCTTCGTCAATTGTAACTTAATATAAAATAATAAAGAGATTGATTGAATTGAAAATGTCTTATTCTGTTCATTTGAAACATCCATTTACAATGTATGTGTCTGGGCCTACGGGTTCCGGTAAGACATACTTTGTGAGAAATATGATAAATTTAGCTGAGAGGATATGTGATCCTCCTCCTGTGAAAATAACATACTTTTATGGTGAATACCAAAAGGAGTTTAATTCAATGAGTAACGTGACTTTTGTAGAAGGGTTACAAGAGGACTTGATCAACCAGGCAGGTGGAGTTGAACCTGAATGGATTATTATTGATGATTTGATGCTTGAAGCAGCAAATCAATCTTTTATTAGTAATCTTTTTACACGTGGTTCTCATCACCGTAATATATCAGTAATTTTGATTACACAAAACTTTTTTGTCAAGGGTAAAGAGAGTAGAAACATTAGTTTGAATAGTCAGTATGTTGTGTGTTTTAAAAACCCTCGAGATAAATCGATAATTTCAAACATTGCTCGTCAAATGTTTCCATCAAAGATAAAAAAGTTACAGAGAGTGTTTGAAGATGCAACATCTAAACCTTATTCTTATCTCTTTTTCGATCTTAAACCTGATACACCTGAAAAGTTGAGATTATTGGCCAACAATTTCAATGAAAACGATGACCCAATGATTGTTTACCCTTTATAATTTATATAAAAGGAAATGATGTTTCAACTATAATCAACATGACGATTGAAGGAGTAATCAAATGTCTTCCGACATTAAAGAGATTAGCTCATGAGAAATCAAAGACTGAAAGAAATAAACTATTGAAAAAAGCAAAGTCTTGTATTTTCTACTCAATTTCTGATATTAGTAAAAACACATTAAACGGAAATATACCAATTAATCCTACACAGAGAAAGAAAATTGAAAAGTATAAAACTCAAATAAGATTGTTATCAAGGAAATCAGGAGTACCATTAAAGAAGCGTAAAGAAGTTGTTTATCAGACAGGTGGAGCTTTTCTTCCAGCACTATTGTTACCAGCTCTTTCATATTTTGGTGAAAAGTTGATAAATAAGTTCATGTAATGAACACAATATCAAAGATGGTGTTAATTCCAGAAAAAGAATATCAATTACTTAAAAACAATATAAAAGAAGTTCAAGAAGTTGTTGAAAAACCGATTGAGGCTCCACCTTTAGAAGAATTTAAAAAGACGTTCAAAGAAGCCATTAAAGAGTTTGAAAAGAGACCATTGAAAAAGAGAAATAAACAAAAAACACTCCCACTTATAAAATGGACAAGCGTCAAGAACTTTTAAAGAGTGTTTATTATGACATCAACAACACTGGAAGTTTTGGTGGTGTTAATCGATTACATGATGCTGTCAAGAACATTGATCCAAGTATTGATGTAAATTTTGTCAAGGAATGGTTACAGGGCCAAGAGACATATACAAATTTCCGATCGAGAAAAAAGAACTTTTTACGTTTACCTGTATTAGTTGATAAGCTTGATGAACAATGGCAAGCCGACTTGATGGATATGTCATATTGGGCTAAAGATAATGACAATAACCGGTATCTATTAGTAGTAATCGATGTATTGAGTAGATTTGCCTGGGTTGAATCTGTTAAAGACAAATCATCATCAACAATTACAGGTGCTTTTAGAAAACTATTTGATAATGGAAGAAAACCAGAAAAGTTACAGACTGATCAAGGTAAAGAGTTTAAAAACAAAAGGTTTCAAGACTTTTGTTCAAGTGTTGGAGTTCATTATTTCACAACAACAGACAATTCGGTAAAATGTGCATTAGCTGAAAGATTTATAAGAACTTTAAGAGCTAGAATATACAGATATATTTATCACAAGAGATCAAATAGGTACATTGATGACCTACAAAAGATTGTTGACAATTACAACAACTCATTTCATAGAACAATTAAAACGAGTCCAAGACTGGTTACCAGAGACAATCAACAGGAAATTGTACAAACAATTCAAAAATCAATTAAATCAAGACCTAAAAAGAAGAGAACAATTAAAGTAGATGATCATGTGAAAATTCCTCTAAACCCTTTGACTGGTGACAAAAGTGCTAGTCAACAATGGACTGATGAGGTGTTTAAAGTCTCAAGAGTTAAAGAGACACCTGGTCATACTGTTTACAAGCTGAAAGACTTGATGGATGAAAACATTACATCAATTTTCTATCCGGAAGAAGTCAAAAGGTTAAATACGACCCTAATTCAGAGTATAGAGTGGCAGTACTTGATCGTGTTTATGATCGAAGGAAAGATTATATAAGCACTTGATACGATGGGAAGGATGGCCAAAAAGTTTGATACCTGGATCTGGGACGTAAGAATGGATGAGACTCATTCACAATCGATCTCGTTTCAAATGGATCAATGAACTTATACCCTGACAATACAATCTCAGCTTTTCAAAATCGAATTGACCTCCTTTAGAGTTGAATGGAGATGGGAAGTTGGATTAACAGAAGTTTATTTTCCACTCAAGTTTGTTGGAAAGCTGAGATAAAATATAAAATAAAGTATGCACGTTTTTTCAAGCTCATTGATAAGAATGAACTATTTCAGGATACCGAATGGAACGATTCTCTTCCTGAACAGACAGTTCGTTTTTTTGTATCGGAACCTCGTGAAAAAGTGATTGAAAAGATAAATCAAAGTTTTCAAGAAGCATTTAAACCTAAAACCTTTACTCCCCGAGTTGATGTCAAAAACCAGAATCTTGAAATAAATCCATATGTATTGAATTTTGGAATTATTTACAACAATAACACAGCGGCAGACATAACATTACCTAAAGATGGTGAGTATGGAAACTCCAAGTTTGACTGGTGGGGTCCTACGACTTCTAGTAGAGGACAGTATTGGATAATGAATCAATTTGCAAATAAGGAGGCTCACTGTGGATTCATTTATGCTCCATTTTTTACTACAGAAGTGAAAAAATATTTAGGAATAAACCATGTACCAGACGCAGACTTCATGTACGATCAACCGAAAATTATTCTTGATAGAAATGAAACATTCAACCTTGAAGCCAAGGAAGATAAGATTTTTCTAATGTATTTATATACTGATATTATCCAAGATCATATAGTAGGTGGGACTCAATCACCAGTGTTACGTGCTCTGCCATTAACAAGTGGCATCTACAAAGATATCGGATATTGTACATTTCTCATCGAATATATTACCCTGTTCGAAAAAGCCATTGGTGAAATATCAGTGCTTGCTACTCACGACTCTGGAGAGAGTAAAATTTGAATCTGGTGGAAGAATGTTTTAAGTTTAGATTTTAGAAAAAGACAAAAGTTGTATAAAGACCAACAGCGTTTCCTCAACCATCATCGATATGCATCGAAAAGCTTACTGCCCTAAAGATAGTGACTTTAGTCATTATTACTCAAGTCAAACTGGTTCTGGATTTGGTGATATTAGAGTTGTTAGAGCACCACGTTACCAACGAGGGTACGGTTTGGTAGTTTTATATCAAGACTTGCTATGCCACTAATTAAATATCTTGGACAGGAAGCTTTAGATAAGGGAGTACAACTCGGTAAAAAGTTGCTCAAGATCAAAAATTCAACAAGCAATCAAAACTGGTGTAACCAATTTAGCGTCAAAGGGTCTAACGAAACTTCAACAGAAGGTTGAGAGTATCCAAAAAGGTAAAGGAAGAAAAAGGTTATATAAAAGGAAAACAATTAAAAAGAAAACAACAGGTAAAAAGAGACCAGTCAACAAGACAAAGAGAAAAGCAAAGAGAAAAACTCGTGACATTTTCAACAAGAAATAATGGAATTTATTCACAATGAATCATCACCAGCTACTATTGCTGAGCTTGATTTATTCAAATTACCACCTACCCAAACTGTTGTTGAATCAATGTATGATGTTGAGTATCGACCTGTAGGATCCCTTGATGATGCGAAAGTTTTTGAATTTGTTGTACCTGCCTCTGAACATTATTCTGATCTATCAGCTTCTTACTTACATGGAAAGGTCAAAATTGAGTACAAAGATCCAATACTACCTACAGATACAATCACACCCGTGAATAATTATGCTGTATCATTATTCGAAGAACTTGATGTTTACCTGGGAAATGTGAATGTAACGACAGGTAATAGTTTGTTTCATTACCAATCATTTATCGAAGATTTGTTTTTCAAATATAAATCCCCTGTTGATGCTTGTCAATTGATTGATGATGATGATAAAAGAGTCAATCGAATTAAAAATTCATTTGATTTCATTCTACCAATTCATGCACCAATGTTTCAACAAGAAAAGTTTTTGATTGATGGAGTACCTATTGTTTTACGATTTAAACTGGCACCTGCAGCTTTCGGCTTAACATGTTCAAAGTCGGGATCAATTTCATTAAAGTTTGAACAAATGTCATTATTCATTAGGCGAGTAAAGTTATTCATGCCTGTTCAGATGACTATCGAACAAAATCTAGCTAAATCCATGGCTAAATATTACTTTCAACGAAATGAAGTTAAATCTTATCATCTCGTGAATGGATTTGCTGCCAGTAGTATCGATAATGTTTACAATGGACAGTTACCACGGAAGGTAATAATTGGATTCGTAACTGACAAGTCATTCAGTGGTGACATTACGGCAAACGCATTTTCGTTCAAACATAAAGACATGAAGGAAATGTCATTGGTTGTTAATGGTGTCAAGATTCCGAGTTCAGCATTCAAACCTGATTTTAAAAACAAGATTTATATGAGAGAGTATTACAACATGTTCAGGGCTATGAATCAAGAGTTTGGAATGTCTAAAATTAATATCAAGTACTCTGATTATGCTGACAAGTACCCATTGTTTGTATTTGATCTTACAGATGATGGTACTTTGGCAACAGACTCTGGTGCTCTCTCAATGATTAAAAGGGGAAGTGCTCGAATTGATATACAATTTACTGAAGCTCTGACTGAGGGATTACACATGATTGTCTTTGGAATATATGATAGTGTAATTCAAATCAATTCTTCAAGAAATATAACAACAGATTATTGATGGCTTTGTCGACAGTTGACATTGAAAATTATCTAAATAAATTTCCTCAATTTAAAGGTGTATTATCAATTGATAAGTTACCCTTTGAACTATTTCAGAAACCCTTTGGTATTGTAATCAATTTAGACCCTAGTTGGAAACCAGGTTCTCATTGGACAGCGATATTTGTCTCAGAGTATGGAAATGGTGAATATTTTGACTCATTTGGTACTCACCCACCTGATGAAATAACTATTTTCTTGGAAAGAAATTGTAAGAATCACTCTTTTAAATATAATAAAAATATATTTCAAGGTGATTTATCAATCAAATGTGGTTACTATTGTATTCTTTTTCTTGAATCACATTTTAATAATTTAAATTTCCCACTTATTAAATGTAAAACAAAAGTTAACGATTACATATTAAACAAAATTTATTAAACAATTTTATAATGTCCAAAAGCATATGTTGATATTCCATCTTCACGAATGAATCTCTTGTCATCTAATGGTGATAGAGATATTTTGTTTGTTTTAATTCCAGAGATTTGATGGTGTCTAGATTGTAATCTATGATTATCATGTCTGAATAAAATGCTGTCGTATAAACAAGTCTTGTAATCATCTATACAAATTTCATCACGAACTGTTGCTTTTTGAGTTCCCTTGGCCGTCTTTTTAGTCTTTGATCCATATTTTATTCCATAAAGTTTTGATTTAATGGCAACAACTTCGTCAATTACCTGACCATTCATTTCATCTTTCAAGACTCCAAGTTTCTTTTTGTTTATTGGATCATACAGAAAATGAGTTTGAGGGTAATCGGAAAAGTCCATGATTGGTCCCATTGACTTTAGATCATTATAAAAATCATCAGTCTGAATATGATAAATGAAACTATCAGTATCAGTGTATACTAACTTCAATTTATCACCATAACGAGGGTAAAAGTAATCATAGTGAAGCTCATACATTCTAAGCTTTGATAATTCCAATACAGTAAAACCAAGGTAAATCGGTTTATCCAATTTAACTTCAAATTTACGCATCTTAATGATTGCTAAATCATTATCAAGAATATAAAAATGTTCAAACATTGGTTTTCTGATTAATTTCAGAGCTTGTTCACCATTTGTAATAACCTTAACTTTAGAGTGTTTTCGTTTATCCTCAATACTTTTACCATACAGTGAATTTACCATCAATTTCCAAAAATCTTTCTCAAATGATGAAGATGCTTGTTTTCGATTGAGTGTACACATTGAAATGTAAGGTTCCAACCATTTTGATTGATTGAATTTCAATATTGAATGAACTTTATCCAAGATTAACCCTTTCTCTAACCAAAATTTCAAGTTTCTTTCATGTACAACGTAGTTTTTCTTATCTCTCAAATTTGGAATCAACTTTTCAGTCTTACATCTTTTTAGTCCTTCACCCTCAAGTTTAATGATGAGTCTTTTCTGGTAATTACTCAACCATTCAGTTTCAACATTGAGTTTCTCAGGGGCCATGGGATAATCATTGTGTTGATCATGAAGATGTTTAGGGTAAATTAAATCAACTTGACAAATGTATCCGATATTTTGATCATGTCCTTTCAAGATTGATTCAATCACTTGAGAGTACAACTCAGGGGCTACCCATTCGAAATTGTTGATTGGTAAATAATCACTTAGAGCATAACCATAAAGGTTATTAACGTCAAGAAAGGCAATGTATGAATTTGGTTTTCCCTCATCATAGTTTTCAGAGAGAGGATTATTGGCAACTACATGTCTCGTCATTGCACAAGAGATTCCACCTCTGATTCCATTCTCAATCATTAGAATCATATCGATATCGGTTAGTAAATCAAGTTTTGTTTTTGTCACTTTAAGAGCTGCATCCCAAGTCAATCCAGGTGTCGAGAAATAGTGACATGGATCAAGTCCAAATTGTTTCAGGCTTGTTGACCTAAAGTTTTCAAAAATTGAAGCTAAAAGTAAAACATCGACTTTCAAGTAAATGTCATGAAAATCACCGAGATTTTGACAATTGAAATGGTCCCAAATTTTCTGAAGATTTGTGTATGTTGATTCATCAATTGTTTTACGAGAGAGATGGGAATAAAATGCATCAATTGAAGGTAAATTGGTCTCATTAAACTTATCCCAAGAGTCCATGTACTCATAAGGTAAACATCCTTTAGATAGCAGTAAAGGAAGATCATTTTCATTAAACATTTGTGATAAATATTTAGATTTATGTTCATCAGGTAAATTTCCAGCCAATGTATCGAGACTGGAAAGAAGAAAAGCTAAACTGTCCAAGAAAATGAAATCATCCATGAAAAAGGCAATATATTTTTCAGTGTTTTGGGGAATAACAGAAATGTTTCTCACAGTATTGGACTTGATTCCTTTCATGATTAAATGAGCATCGTAACCTTTCAAGTTATGAAAAATGACAGGAATTCTATTTGGTAATCTCAATTTCAAATTACAGAGATTATGAGCTGCTCCTCTTAGCTTACCAGTCAAGTGACAATGATCCAAGACTTTATCTTCGAGAAGAGGCTGTAAACAAACATGACAATTTGAAGCTGATTCATAGCCTATTCTTTCTTCTGGTGTTAGTATGGGTGGCTTGATTCTCAATTGTAAATTCACATTTAGTGCACTGTAAACTTTGTAGAGGCTAGAGATGAATTTTTCAGCAGCATTTTCTCCACGATAGAAACATTTGAATAAAATTTTTCCCTCCCAATCAACAACAATCCATCCAAAAGAACAAGCCTCGTGTTTTTGGTATTCAAATGTACTAGCTCCCAATACATTTTCACTCTTCATTACCAAGGCTTCAAAGTCTGCATAAATTACATATGGATAGGATATTGTTTTTTCAAACCGTGTAAATTCACAAGTTGTTGGAACGTTTTCACTACCAGGTAGTATTGTTCTTTGAGCTGAATTGTTATTACAATAAACTTCATGTTTTGTTAAAGTTGATTTTTCCTTAAAGCCTGATAGACAAGAACAACAGAAAAATCTTTCCCAAGATTTATTTTTCCACATGAATCCATTTAAATTGATGATTGTAAAGTAATGATCATTATAAAGAAAGAGATTCACATGATTCTTTTTTCTATCTTTGTTGACGAACAAGGGAACTACTTTTTGATTTTACCTCCTGATAATGTGTAAACATTGATACATTGTTGCGTTTTTCGAAAATTTTATCTTGGAAAATGGTGTTATTGGTCCAATATCACTGAAATTGTAAAGTTTTCAAATTTTTATACTGGGATATTCGTCCAGTATGATTTGTTTGTGATGAAGAGAAATGAGAACAGCCCATTTGAAGCAATGACTTTTACATTGTGGAAATTAAACTTCTCTTTTCAAATAAATTAAAGGTAATTTTACGTTACAGCAACCACCACTGTATTCTTTTAGTTTTCCAATCCGAATTTCCAACATTTTAACTTTCGAAAGGATCCAACCACTTCCACGTTGGGTGAATTGATCAACGACAAGCTCCAAGTTTGTTGCCCATTCATTTATTGACTTTTCAATCTGAGAAGTGAAATCGGTTTACTTTGAGTGATTTTATAAAGTTCAGTTGAGTCAATCTCTCCGTCAGGTTTCTGTTTCACAAATTTCAATAGTAAACAAGCTTGAGCTTTAAATGACCCGATACTCTCAAGTATATACTTGAAAAGAGTAACGATATTTGTACTTTCCATGTTGAATAAATTTTCCAATGACTTCCATTCACCCAACTTGACAAAGATCTTGAGGACACCCTTATAAGCTACTTTGTGTAACCTAAAGGTAGCTACATCACCGAGAGGAGAGACTATTGTCTTACAGGTAATCACATGGTTAATGTATGTATCTCGGTCCTTGAATCTTATTTTACACTTTTCACATTTCAAAGTCTCACATTCTACCTTGTGAATTAACATGGACTTGAATTTCATAAATGAAACTCCACAGTAGCTACACTTGAACATGATTGAAGTTTCAATGAGAATGTGGATTGACTTATATAGTGAATGGACCCTGGATGTCACATGATCAAGCCAACTTTAGATTTTGAATCTTATTCATGTCAATCAGTACTATTCTCAGAATGAGAAGAATTAGTACCAATATTGAAACTACAACGATTGTCAAAAGTACCATTATTAACCGAAATGAAAGACAAAAATCAAAAGTAAAGTAAAAAAAAAGTTTAATATATTATTTCGGTTTTAAAACAATATATATTCTTGGCCCACATTTGACCAATTTCTTTTTTATAAATGAAATAGTCCTCATACGAAATAGTAAAAGACGCTGTCTCCACCTTCTCCTGAGTAATCGAATGACTGATACCAAGATCATTGAATCCAGTCCACAGCTCACTCATGAAAGAGACCAAGTCATACGGCTCAATTATACCCGAACTGTCCAACCATCTTCTCAATTTCAACGAAGTCTTTATGTCAAAAGTATAACAGACCTCTCTGGCAAATGGTATGTCTATTGACCTGAAAAGAAAGCTTGAAAAACCATATCCCTATTGAAAAAAAAAAGAAAGATTAGTAAATTTTCCTTAGTTGTTCAACAAGTCAACTTACATAAGTCATGATGGTACTGTTTCTCTTGATACAACAAACATCATCTTTTATAATCAGTGAGGGAGAAAATTGTCTCCCTTACCTTTAGCCAACCCAAATTAATTCAACCAATCAGGTAATTCAAACAACTTTAAAGACCGGTCAAGGGATGAAACAAGAAAACAAGTTCAATTGAGCTCAAATTTTTTTTAATCAATGATAAATGGATACATAATTGTTTATAAAATAATAGAAAATAATCAAGAATATAAATGAAAAGTAAAAAAAGTAAACCAAAGTACCCAAGAATAAAATGAAAATCAAATGAATGAGAAAATTATTCCCAAATAATTTCTTGCATTGCAGCAAAAATATGGTTAGGAATAGAATGACCAACCATTTTAGTAATCTCGTTTGGTAACAGTTTGATAAGTGTTTCCTTGTGGCCAGCTTTTAGTCGGATTTCAAAAAAGTTACCAAGATCCTTTCCAATAATTTCTCTTCCTTGATTCAAAGACAGTTTGAAAGCATCTTGAGGATTTACCAATTTTTGTTTCAACAGATCATACTCATTGTAACGAAGAAACAATCCTTGTCTTGTTGGTATCTGAGTCTTTGATCCGTTGATGAATCGTTCCATTCGTCGACGGATATCAATAAATGTAGTTCCATTGGTTGATTTAGCTCGCTGAACAGTAAGATAAAGTTTTGGAGAAATTTCAACACAGAGCAATTGTTGAAACCGATCTTCAAAACCTGATGTTGATGGTCTATCTCTTCCAGACGGTGGTTGAGTTGTTGGTTGTTGTACTGGTTCTTGTTGTGTTGGTTCAGGTTGAGTTGGTTCAGGTTGAGTTGGTTCAGGTTGAGTTGGTTCAGGTGAAGCAGGAGAGTCAGGAATATTTGTTGAATCCATTTCAAGTTGATGGTTCAGAGGAGAAGAATCGAATGGATTTCATATTGAAGAGTCTCCATATTTATACTCTCCGATTGATAAATAGCCCAACCCACTACTCCCTCTTTCTGTCAATTTGATTGATGAGAAACTTGTTTTGAGTATACCAAAGTAACTTTACTTAAGACTTTATCATTAATTCAATTCATCTTCCCCATTTATCGAGATCATTATCATCTCAGTCATCAAAACTCATCAAGGTCAATTTCTCAACAGAATCAAGACAGTATTATATACTCAATCACAACGAGTTTCCCCGACTTTCAATCACTAACCAATTCCGAGTAATATAAACAAATTTCAGTGGTTGAATCATTTTATTTGAACAAAGTCTTACAGAGTTAAGGTTTGATAACCTTTATTCTACCATCAATACTTGTTCGACAGACTGGACAATTTTCTTGACCAAGTCTGCTCAGAGTATTGTCACAAGAGACACATACAGCCAAATGATTACATGGTAAATATAACATTTGATGAGTTTGTACTAAACAAACACAACAAAGGTGCCTCTCTACAATAAATCTTTCTTCGTTAGCATAAGGGCAATCTGGAGATAACAGACTGTGGGTTTCACTTGGATGGTTTTTCAGTTGTCCATCAACAGCCAACCGACAAAAAGCACATTGAACAATCCTGTTTGATCCAGTCCAGAAAAAGCCACTTTCAACGAACCAATTTTTAAACTTGATGCTCAAACTACATTTTTTAAAAGAGAAAACTCTATTAACTCGTAACTGATAGAGCTGGAATACTTTCTCAGGATTCAATGTTTTCTTTTCCGAATAGATTTGTAAAACCTGATCCTCTTCAGCTTGAGTGATGGATGAAATTGGTTGTAAAGTTGCTACTTCAGCATCTCTATCAGCAAGAATTTTTGGATCACCATATCGATGAATACCAGGAGTATCAATCCGAAGTATAAGATTTGGTTCTCTTTTGAGAACAAAACTACATTTAGGACTGAAGCTAGCATGATAACTTACAACATCTTTATGTAAGAGACAAATCTGGACTTGTAATCCACAGCAAAAACATTGTAAATAATCTGAATTACCAAAACGGAAAAATCCATCTCTAATAGCATTCAACCAAGTGCCATCAGTCAAGTCGATACAGGTCATCATTCGATGTAACTCAAGCTTCATAGTTTGGTAAAGATTCAAACAGTTGATCATTTGAGATGGCCAGTTCTCCATAACAGGTGAAATGTTTTTACTCATCTTGAAAGAAAAAAGACAAAAAGAATATAATGTTAATTTGAGATTTTATTCAAGAGAATATTTTGCAATGCAACTTTTCTCTTCATCGATTCAACAAACTTTGAATGGTTTTTACAATTTTTCATTATCATTTTGAGATGATTACATTTGATGAACCAAATTTTTACATCAGTAAATTCGTTGCAATCAACAAGGCATTCAATTTTGTTGGATTGAAAATGACCGAGGATACTTTGATCATTGACTGCCTTGTTACATTGCTTACAGTTGATGATTTTATTTTCAAATTTCAAGTGAATTTTTTTCAGGGTTTGTAAATAGGATTTACAATTACAATTTTTAGGTTTCCTTTTGGGTTTGGGTTTTTTGAACTGAATATCCTTCGTTGGAGCTAGAGTTCCCTTACCTCTGGATACAGTTTTGATAGTTTGAGAAACAATTTTCATTTTAGTAAGTAAGTCCTGTTGGTAAAATGTTTGAAAATATCCTCAACAAGATTAACGTTAACTTCTTCCAGAGAATCAAAAAACTTTCGGTTGTTCACTTTAATGGATTTTGTTTGAGAATCAAAAGAAACAGCAGATTTACTCAATTTTCTCTTGATTTCTGGTCAAGTAAGGCATAAATAGCAGAAAAATCACTGACTGAAAAATTAAAATCAGCAAAATTTAAAGGTTGATCTAAACTTGGAGTAGAATTTGAATCGATGGGAATTTTACAAAGATGAATAAAATGATTGGAAGAAATAGACATGAAAATTACCTTGAATCAAATATAAAAGAAGAAACAAAACAGAAATTAAAACTTGAACAAAGTTAAAGTTCACAAACTGAAGATGAAATTAGACTGACCAATCTTTGAAAATTTTCTCGCTATTTATACCCGTCAACTTTGCTCTCTAACCTGAAACTTGGAACTATCAATCATTTGAATGACCTCGAATAGACTAAAAATAATTACCTTTGAATTAATCTTGATTGGAATTTTAAGGTTTGATATAATCAGGAATTCATAGCCTCTGGGTATTGAAGAGGCCTCAAAGTCCTTGAATTTATGACCTTTTATGAAGATATGCAGACATGCACTCATTAATGGTTGGAATTTACAAAGAAGATTTAATTACTTTTCCATATCCTTGAGCGATGATTGATTCAATGAACTTTGGAAATTACATCTTGAACTCAATGATGACCTTGGATAAGAAACATAAGTACAAGTCCACTGAATTAATACATTGAAATAGCCTAAGAGCCTTTAGTCCATTGAATTAACATTACCCCCCACAACAAATTTCGGAGGTACCGAAATTAGTAAGGGGGGTTGAAGATTCAAAAGACTTGTTTGATGTTAAAATACATTGAAATAGCCTAAGAGCTTTTAGTCCATTGAATTATCATTACCCCCCACAACAAATTTCGGAGGTACCGAAATTAGTAAGGGGGGTTGAAGATTCAAAAGACTTGTTTGATAAAATACATTGAAATAGCCTAAGAGCCTTTAGTCCATTGAATTAACATTACAACAAATTTCGGAGGTACCGAAATTAGTAAGGGGGGTTGAAGATTCAAAAGACTTGTTTGATGTTAAAATACATTGAAATAGCCTAAGAGCCTTTAGTCCATTGAATTAACATTACCCCCCACAACAAATTTCGGAGGTACCGAAATTAGTAAGGGGGGTTGAAGATTCAAAAGACTTGTTTGATGTTAAAATACATTGAAATAGCCTAAGAGCCTTTAGTCCATTGAATTAACATTACCCCCCACAACAAATTTCGGAGGTACCGAAATACATTGTAATAGCCTAAGAGCCATATGATCATGCGTCCTAATGTTGAGATTTTGTTATTGGTTCTTTCGTATATTCTAGTTCTAACGTACCTCCTCTAATGTTTACGCCGACTCTGTTTTTGGTTAACCTGTTTATTCTTGACTTTTCTGTCAGTTAACTTTCTGCTCTCTCTGTCTACAGTTTTCTTTCTGTTTTCTTTCTACATTTACCTTTATACTTTTGTCTCTATCTTTACCCTTTCTGCTCTAAAATGAATAAATTACTTTTAGATCAACTTAAACTACAAGTTCTTCTCCAACTCTGCATTGGTTTACTTTCTGAGTTTTCTAATGACCCAGAGAAACTTCAATTTTGGACTAATCGGATCAATAATGATCTGGGTTCAATAATTTATAATTTTGTTCTCCCTCAACCACCTGCCTCTATTGTACCACAAAATCTCTCTAACCCAACCCCAGGTACATCTTCTCTTTCTCACCCATGTGATCATGATATTGCTTGTGCTCAGGATATACCACCTCTGGATACTAGTGACAATTTGTTAAATATTCTCCAGGATAATAATTTGTTCCAGGAAAATGATAACAACCATATTCAGGATACTCTATCTGCCTTACTTGATGAAGTTTGTGTTAATCAACCATCAACTGATCAATTAAATACCCAGGAAGAAACTGTTACCGTGAATAGTCCAGTGAATGACTCAGGCATAACATCAAACATGTCAACTCAACATGAACAATCAACAATTACATCAACTAATCTACCTGTGCCTCAAGATCAAAGTGATTCTCTACCGGATTATTCATCATTACCAACAGCTAAGGTTACTCCATTCAGCTATGTTCCTCGAGAAATTATTCCTGATCCCTCTCAAGATAATAATGAACAAAGTGTAATGAGTGAAGTCCAGAATGTTGATGGATCAAATACAATCAATGACCATGATACAGCTTATGAAAGTGATAGTGAAAATGATGATCCAGAAAATGATCCTGACTTCTCTCCCAAATTAATTTCACCAAGACCATCAACTTCCAGGATGTCAACAAGAACAACAGCACAACTACCTTCTACCTCTAATGAGTCTGATCCTTCTGTAGATGAAACTCCAATGGATACATCTGACCCTCCTGAACCAGAACCTCAACAATCTCAGGTAGAAGAAACTATACAACCTAATCCCTCGGCCCAAGAACCCCAATCTCCACAAGGTAATTCATCAACAAGAATGGATACATCTGATCCTATTGAACCAGAATCGTCTCAGGTAGCTAACTCACCCGAACCCAATGAGTCTAATCTAGTAATTGATGAACAACCCAGCCAACCAGAACCTCAACCTCCTCAGATAGAAGAACAAGTACCTCAAACACCTCAGGTAGAAGAACCCGAACAATCTAATCCACCAGAACCCCAACCTAATCCACCAGAGCCTCGAGCTAATCCACCAGAACCTCAAGCTAATCGACCGAGAAGAGGTTCATACAGATCCCGTGAACCTACACTTGAAGAATTGACTTCATTTCTTAACAGATATAGAGGTAGAATTCAAACACGAGACGATCTTTTGGATATCAACTCTCTTCCTCGACCAACAACAAGTTTAGAAGCTGAAGAAACAATTGATAGATTGAGGATAAATCAAGCAGTTATTGATAAACGAGGAGTACATAACATGTATTTTATCGGTTACTGTTTGACTCTCCATAGAAGGTTGTACGGAGAGACAAGACGAGATGAGTGGATGAGTATCGCCATTCAGAGATTCAATTATGGACAAACATCAATTAGTTTTTTCATAAGAGTTTTCAATGTAATTGATAGATATCCCATGATGATGTTGTTACCATTAACTCGATATCAGTTGGAACGATATCTCTCCTTTTGGGAAAATATCCAATTAATTCCTTCTGAACATGAATTTTGGTCTCGTAATCCTGATCTTTTCAATAATGATGATAACTGAAATCAGTAATCTGTAAACCTTGATCTTAATAAAAAGAATTTCTGAAAATAATCTTCTTTCCAAAAAGTAATTACCTAAAGTAAATCTATACAATGGCCTCAAGCTATAAAGTACCTTTCAAATACATTGAAACTGGTAAAAACCATCAACATATAATTACCTGTCAAAAGATTGATGGTAAGTCTAAGATAATCATTACCTCTTGATGCTAACTGGACCCCCAAGGGATTATATTGATGGTCCAACCTTTCGTTTAGAAACAAGTTTAAACAAGTTTAAGAGGTTTCTACAATCATTGGAAAGCCCTGAGGCTAATTCCCATACCGAAGTTATCTTCAATAATCTTAGTCACGAAATTGTTAGTATCATTAAGAGTGAATCTTTCAAAACAAAGTTTATTACTTCAATCAATCAATGACAATCTCATTACCTTCTTTATATGGGTTTGGCAAATTGGACAATTCATTTTATCAAGAATACAATCAGTACATGACACAGCATGTTCACAAGGATTTAAAATACATTCAATTTCCTTTTCTTTACAAACTTTACATTTATAACGATCATCCTTAGGCACCATTGCCTTTGGTACTTCTGGTTTCCTTTTAGCTATAACTGATTTGAATATGAACTCCATTCCACATTTAACATAAATGAAATGACAACGTGGGCTATATCTAGCATGTTCAACCAATGGATCATCATCAAGTTGCCAATCATGAATGCATACATTACAATGGAAACATATCACTTTATCTCCTCTACCATGGTAGAAAAAAACCAGCTTCAGATAGCTTAACAACATTAATTTCTGGTCTTGGCCAATTGAAAAAAGTTTCCAGACGTTCAATTGCGCTGAGATAAATTAATTGGTTAGGATAAGCATTTCTAATATTATCAATACTGTAATGATAATACATGTATAAAGAAGGACTTCCAATAAATTTATAACCACACTCGTCAAATGACTTGTCCATTATTAAATAAAATGCTATTTAAACTCTCCTTATATACCGCACAAAAGAATAAACTCATATCGAATAATTAAAAGAAATCATTATCAAAAAATGCATAAGGTCTCTCGTACTTAGACTCAAAGTTAGATGCATGAAAATCGAAGTTCCCCCTGTCACGCCACCATACGATACCATACGATACCACAGGAGAAGACAGGAGAAGAGGGGAATAGACGGGAGAAGACCAAGGAACGGACAGGATTTGAACCAGGGGGCCAGCCTTCTCAAATCATGCACGTTACCTCTGAGCTAAGTACGAGGACCAAAGGTTGTTTTTCTGGTTTTAGAGGTCATGTGTGTTATAATGTCCAAAAAGAAAGAGAAAAAGAAAGAGAAAAGTGGTTTATAATGTTGCCTTTTACTACTACTTTAGTTCAAAAAGCTTTCGATTACAAGGTCAATAAAACTGAAAGAGCAAAAGTATATTCTTGCGAATTTCAATATCGGCACATCCGAACTGAGGCAAAATTGACCGTACAAATAATAGAGATGTTAATAACATAAAATCATTCGAAGCTCTTTTTCACGGCTGTAAATTTATATAAATCTTTTATTAATATTTTAATAATACTTTGAGAGGTCGAAACAATTGAAACAATTTGGATCATAAATTAATGTTGATTGGATTGATTTGAATTTTTTACAATCTAATAGATTCATTTATCCATCCAGATTGGATCAATTAAACTTCATAATCTGATATCTTTTTTTTGCTGGTTTCAAGAGAAAACAAGGTTTACATTTGTAAATCATCAACAGAATGCAAATCAATAACCAGTTGATGAATTGTATTCACCAAGCGAGTAATCACTTGAAACTGAATATAATGGTCCCATTGCCACAAACGAATCAAGGTAACTTGTTGATTGTGATTTTTTCATCATACTACGGAAATGTTTTGATCGAGATGATGAACCATAACGAGGATAACCAACCAATGTATCTCTGTGATGATGATAATGATGGCGACTGTGATAATTGAAATAGTTCTTATCAAATCGAGAAGGTTGAGTTATCTTAGCTCTTAATCCACTATAATAAGGATCATCTAAAATATAATCATGTAAGAAATTGAAGAAAAAACAATTAATCATAATTAATTTCTGATTATTTCCGAAGACTGAGAAACTAACCATGTTTTGGTTTACATCGAGATTTAGATTTCACGTTGACCATTCGTTCATCATTTTCATCTTCATCGTCATCATCTTCCACGTCCAACTCATCATCATCTTCATCGCCTGTTACTCCATCAACTCATCCTTCAGCCAATTTATCTAAAGCAGACAAAAGGATAGCTCAGATGAAAAAGAAAGCAGCTAATAAAAAGAATCTACTAGCTTCAATCAAGTGATGAAAGATTAACTAACAGCTCTTCATCTCAACTAATTTCTACTAATTGATTTATTATCAATAGTAAATCCCAGTGGCTGAGATAGAGAAAGAGATAGAGAGAGATATATAGAAACTTATATGTGATTTTGGCTAGAGAACAAGGTTAATGTGTAACAATTAACTGACCTTGTCTAAACGCTGGACAATTTGAGCCAACTACAATTTAACCTTTCTGATTTTAATTTTCCTTACAGTCCGAAAAGTGACCTACTAAGCGGAAAATGGAATTATGTCTCCAATTAAGAACTTGAATGTTTTATCTGTCAACTGATTGTCAATCGCACTGAATTGCTTTTCCAGAAATCAATAATCAAAATAAGGGTTCAACCTTTTTTTCCGAATAGGTTAATTTTCTCATTTTTCTAACTAATTTTTACCAAGCGCGTTGATCAATTTCCATGGGTGATTCCTTTTTCTAATTGCAATTGCTTGAATGGCTCATAAGAGAATAATTGTGACTCTGGGTAATAAGATAATTAATAATTAATTTATTATATTTTTGTCATTTCATAAAATAAATTCAATGATATCCAATGTTTAATTGAACATTAGTTCCGCCAAGAAGAATCAGGTGGACCATTAGTAGTAAAAAAGGTCCCCCCTACCACTCCATTGGTATCTTTAGAAAGGTTTATCGTTAATTAGCTCCCAATTGAGATTGCAATTCTTTACTACCATCATAAAGATTTTGTTTGGGTGTAAATTGATTTGCTGCAGAAGTTGAGGTTAAAGTAACTCCAAGGAGAGTAATTAGAAGCATGAGGACTTTGAAAAGACTGAAATTCATAATAATTAGTCTTAATATTTTCAAAACAAAAGAAATGAAACTTAAACGATTGTTATCGATGGAAATAAAGTTGAATTAGACTGGTGAAAATTCAATTGAAAACTCATCCTTTTTATATCATCCAATCGACATTTGAACAAATATTTTTCACAGCAATTGTATTTGCAATTAGATAAAATTCAAGGTAAGATACAAGTGAACAGAGAGAAGGCAGAGTTTTTTACTTATTAGAATAGAAAAAGGAAAACCATCGATAGTTAATTAATTAGCTTGTGCTTTTTAAATTAATAGGTTTCACTTTTTAAGGTTCACTAAGTGTGATGAAAGACAATAAAATTCTAATAATTTGATTAACGATTTATTCAGAATTAGTTAGTAATTGTGAATACTCATAACTCACAATTTGAAAAGGTTTTGATATCACTTTCATGGGCAATCAGCTCATCAAACAATTCAGGAAAATAAACTAATTAATTACCATTTTAACCTAAAAAATCAGCTAATTTTGTTACATCATTTATTCAGCTTTAAGATGATGTAGTGTTAAAATGATTAATTACTGTAAATTAAGTTGAACAATTAATTAATTCTCTCTCACTTTTTACTTGTACCAACAATTCCCTTGAAAACTCGTCCTCATGTGAATACGTGGAATCGACAATTGAATATACTTTAATTTAGGAACGAGTATGTCCACTCAAATGTGGCCTCCGTCAAATCCAAGATAGATAATTTTGCATGAAATCGACTCTTAAGAAACTCCTCCTAGTCTTTCCAACTGTTCTTGAAAAGGTCTAGTTAGGCCAAACTAGACTTGTGAAGTTCAGAATCTGAACCAAATATTATTGACGAGTCAAAATTAGTTCAAAAAGCTTTCGATTACAAGGTCAATAAAACTGAAAGAGCAAAAGTATATTCTTGCGAATTTCAATATCGGCACATCCGAACTGAGGCAAAATTGACCGTACAAATAATAGAGATGTTAATAACATAAAATCATTCGAAGCTCTTTTTCACGGCTGTAAATTTATATAAATCTTTTATTAATATTTTAATAATACTTTGAGAGGTCGAAACAATTGAAACAATTTGGATCATAAATTAATGTTGATTGGATTGATTTGAATTTTTTACAATCTAATAGATTCATTTATCCATCCAGATTGGATCAATTAAACTTCATAATCTGATATCTTTTTTTTGCTGGTTTCAAGAGAAAACAAGGTTTACATTTGTAAATCATCAACAGAATGCAAATCAATAACCAGTTGATGAATTGTATTCACCAAGCGAGTAATCACTTGAAACTGAATATAATGGTCCCATTACAAACGAATCAAGGTAACTTGTTGATTGTGATTTTTTCATCATACTACGGAAATGTTTTGATCGAGATGATGAACCATAACGAGGATAACCAACCAATGTATCTCTGTGATGATGATAATGATGGCGACTGTGATAATTGAAATAGTTCTTATCAAATCGAGAAGGTTGAGTTATCTTAGCTCTTAATCCACTATAATAAGGATCATCTAAAATATAATCATGTAAGAAATTGAAGAAAAAACAATTAATCATAATTAATTTCTGATTATTTCCGAAGACTGAGAAACTAACCATGTTTTGGTTTACATCGAGATTTAGATTTCATGTTGACCATTCGTTCATCATTTTCATCTTCATCATCATCATTATTAAGATCATCATCGTCATCATAATCAGGTGATGGAAGTTCAATTGATAAAGATTTATCTCTTCTTAAGAATCTTGTATCATCCAAATTTAGCGTCATTAATTGTCGAGATCGTGAAGCTGATGATGATCGTCGGAATAATTTTCTATCTCCAATCGAAGGTGAAATTGTTTCGGGCTTCACATGGATTTGAATCTCTTCACCAATTGATCGATCAGTTCGATCATCATCAAATCGAATCATTCTCTCTTCAGACCCATTTAAATTGAAAGATGAATATGGACCTAAATTTCATTAATAAAGTAAAATCTTCTATTATAATGATACGTGTACAATTTAGACAGTTACTTACGTTTAATTGGTAAAGGTAATCGTGACTGAAGAATGTCCAAAGCAATTATGTTAACAATTAATATGTAACAAGGTAAATCTAGAATATTGGAAGAATCTTTGACGAATGAGAAAACCGAGATACATTGAGTTTCTAATTTACACCGATCAGGATAACCTGTTGAAATTTCTTTCTCCAAATTACTGGTAAATTTTCTCATATCGAACAATTTGTAAGCCTTATTTTGATCCAACTTCCCGTGAATCGAGATAATTTCATTGCTCACCGCTGACCATGAAGATGATGTAACTTCGGAAGATGAGGAAGACGAGGATGACAATGAATAAGATGCTGATTTTGATGAGAGATTTGAAGAAGATGCCGATGGAATACAATTTTTAACGTAAACATCGCTTCGGGAGAGACGTTTAATCAATATGTTTCCAGCTTCATCAACCTTTAATTTGATTCCCTGAATTAGAGAAGAAAAAATAAATTGATTAATTGCTGGTTGAATAAATTTCGATTCGATTAGAGTGTTTTTTTATCTTCTCCTTCTTCCTACCACAATTTGCTTGATTATCGCTTACCTGGCCAATCATTTTCTTAATCTGATCAACTTTCGGATTAGTTGAACCTTCACCAAGACCATTAACTCCGATTCGATAACCATCAAATCCAACATCTGATCCATTAATTGTTATGATTGATGCTCGAGCATAAGCTTTGGCTATACGACGATTACGCTCCATGACTATTATCTTGGCCCATATTTCATCCTCAATTTGATCCCATTTGTTTAGCACCTCAAGTATATGATCCTACGAAAATAAATCAACAATCGACAATTAGTTTTCTCAAAGATTGATTAGCAAAGTTTTTTGTTATTGTATTATCGTTGATCTGCTCAAAAAGTTACACTAAATTACTGTGAATTTGATGAACAATAAGAGTCACCATCATTATTGACATCATTCAATTAGCTAATTGTTAATCATGTTAATTGAGCTGACATTTTTGGGACAAAATTTAGAGTCAAACCTTTTTTTTATGTTGATGATCATTTGTCACTTTCAAAATTTCAAGACATTGATGAAAGTTAATTGTCAGTCTCGTTTTCTAATTGAAAAGTTACAATAATGATTGAGTAACAATTTAAATTGTCTCTTGTGGATAATATGTTTACTTCAATTAAATTAAAGGTGGAAGTGAATACATTAAAAAAAAGGTAAACAATTAAATTAACAATACATCCAATGTCATTCACTTTCACTTTTACGAAAAATAAATGATCTAAAAGGGAGAAGGTAACAATTTACTGATTGTAATAAGTAAATGATGATCTCTATCAAGACGATTAACACTCCTACATCATCATAATTAGTTAATTCAATGGCAGAATCAATGACCTTGTATAACAAGTAATTAAATTAAATTGTAAATTAATCATCGTCATTGATTGAAAGTTTCAATCAACAATTACAGTACTTGTATTAGTTAATTAATCCATTCATTTCCTCAGTTTTCAAATTGATAAAAGTTAATTATGACTATTGAATTGGTGAACAGTTAGATTAAAATAGACTGAATTGTTTAGCTATTAAATTCATCACCAATTAAGATAACAATTACATGTAAATTTATTGATAAAAATCAGTTGAAAAGTTGATTTAGTTTGAATTGTTGGTAAAACTAATTTGATATCAAAATGATTCCGATACAAATCAAATTAGATTAACTTTTAGATTGACTCTAATGTCACAGTTTTATTTAATTAGATTGACCGATCATATTAAATATTGATACACAAGAAATTGCTTTAATTGTTTAGTTATATTTTGATAATTAACTTTATAAAGTAGATTAAACCTTTTTTTCAAACAGTTGGGTGATTTTCTGATTAAAAATGAACAATAATTCAGGTTTAAGGTTAATATATGTTTGTCTAATTTATGAAAACGGTCAGCAACAATTAGATCAGCTTGTTGTCATTAATAAATTATTATTGCTCTAATTGTGATTAGGTCCAACAATCAATGTTGACCATGTTGATTTTGATTAGAACAAAAGAAAATGATCTAAACGATCACCTGAATCAATCAAATTACCAATAGTTGTAAGTCTTTGACTAAATTGTAATTGGATTAAGATTAATTTAACTTGAAAAAAAAGAGTTAATTGTAATATGAAAATAAAGAAACAATTAATTGAAAGAGAAAAACTTCTCCCATCGCAACAATTAAGAGAAATTGAAAGTTTTTCTAATTAAAGTGAGAGTGGAAAAAAATTGATTGGAAAGTTAATTAAATGTCTTACAAGTTAATTGTCAGCTGATTGTCAATAGTTTTTATTTGACACTTTTTTTCTGTTGTGATTGAAATTTAATTAAACTATGAAGGCGGAAGCCAATTCGTTGTCAATGATTAATTTTTATTGTAATTGTGGGTTGACTTTTTTCCTTTAATTTTGATTAGGTGTATTCATCTTGAACCTACAATTGTGATTCATCATAATTGTCAACCGTAAACATTGAAATGATTTTTACCTTTATTAGGATTTATTATCATCATTATCATGAAAATCAACAATGATTCATGATTAAGATGAGATATTTGATTATCATCAAGCTCAGGAAAAGAAGCAATCAAATTAGCTCAAGGGTGAATTCAAGGTGATCGATAAGTTATCATCTTTAGTTTCGATACACTATCAATTTAGGACTAAGATAGTTAATGAGATTGATTGAATTGTATTGATAATTATTTTGAATCAATTTCTTTAACTATATTGTTATAAACAGCTGACAATCAGACTGAATTTTAAAATTGATTAACCTGAAAACTGTAGAAACAAAATGAGACAATGGTCAAGATTAACTAATGAATATGTTTTCGCTAATTGTTGTAAATAAATCAATACTTACTCGATATAATTTATCTTTGTGACACCAAACATCAGAATCGTTATTGGTGAAACAAGCATCATAATTAATTTCATCTCTTGAACGGGAAATGATCTTTCGTCGACTAATCATAATTTAAATTGTCACTAAATAAATAATCGCACAAATCACAAAAATTTCGAGCACAAAGTGAATTAGTTTAAATTATTGTTCCTCGTCGACAAATAATATAATAATAGAATAACTTTGAGAAAAAGGATCACCAAGATAATCAAAAGTAATTGATTTCGAGCACGTTTAACATTGTTAATCAGAACAAAAGATTAGAACTAAATATTTGATAATCTAATCAAAAACGATGAACGATCTGATTTTATGGGTTGTCTGTTGATGTTGATGTTGTCGTTCACTTTTAGTTAATGTTTATCGTTACCAAGATGATAAAGAGAGAGAGAGAGAAAAGTCAAAAGAGATTGTGATAAGTTAATTGTACGCCTTAATAAAGAGATTTAAGGAAAGGAATGAGGTGTTTACAGGTTAATCATGAAATGAACAATATTCACGATTCTGGTGATGATGATGCTTTTTTAGAGGTGATGATAAAGGTTGATATTAAAGGTGGGGGTTCAAAGAAGATAGAGAGAGAAAGTCAAAGTCTTCATGATTTTATCATCTTGTCATTAAATGTCCTGGGTGAGGTTATTTTTTTCTCTTCATTCTGAAATGATCAAATGATTGACTTAAAGTTGAGTTGACTGATTATAACAATTAAAATCGATTCAACTGAACTTTTTGGACTTACGTTTCAATCACTTAAATTGTCTTTTTTATAAATAAAAATAATATCTAAACTTAATTTATAATCAGATATACATGTATAATTATCTAGCAGTGCTTTATCGAAAAGCTTACTCGTTGCTGACTAGAGTTATTGATTAATAAAGCTTTTCTCTATGTAAAGCGATTTAATTGATCTTAAACAATTCACAAAAAATTATTACTTAACGTAACTAAAAAACGACATCACTTATGTGGATACCTAATATTTGCGATAACCGCGAGACAGAATGTTTTAAATCTGATTAATTTTGATTAAATTAATGATTTTGCGAGCACAAAGTCAAGTATACAGGGCGATTACGCTAAATTAAGAGATTTGTTTTCGGAATAACTTGAGAACGGCGAATCGTTGACAAGATCAGATTGCAGATATGGACTTGGGAGACCATGGGAATTTGTTTGACATCAAGTTCGAAACTGACCTTTCGGTAGGCCAAAAGTCCGTCCGAGTTTCGCTTTGAGAACAGAAATCATTTTTTTCTGGCTTTTAAAAGAGCAAAATATTTCGCAAAATTTTACCAGATAATTTTGGCCTAGCGATTCATGGACTTTTGGCCTACCGAAAGGTCAGTTTCGAACTTGATGTCAAACAAATCTCTTAATTTAACGTAATCGCCCTGTATAAAGAATGATGTTCTCAATAAAATCATTCGAATCGACACGTTCTCTGGACTCTTTTGAGTGAAGTTCTGTTAAAATTAAATTTGTGAATTATTTAATTTTATTTATTTGATTTTAAATCCCTAATCGTAATTACCATCATCACCGTAATTTATTCGTAGTTTCATTTACGATTTGTGTTGAGTATCCAACTAAATAAGCAAAATGTAAGTGAATTGATTTCGTTCGTTCTTCCTCTCTCTTTCTCTCTCGATCAATTAGTTTTTTCTCTAGACTTAGAAAATTCTTTTCATTAATTGAAATCTGTAAACATTCAATGAACGAGCCCAAATCAACTTATTTAACTAGCACCAGAAACTGATTATCGGAATTTCAACATAAAAATCTTATGACTAGAATCTTTTTATTAGAAACTCTTCATTCAAATCTAACTATTAAATGCGAAATAACTAGACATTCAACCTCTAATAATAATTAGAATCTCATAAAGATAGTTAGAATTTTAATTTTAATCTTAATCTAAATAATGTTTTGTCATCTTTATTGTCAAAGCCAGGTAGCCTGACTTTACAGACAATTTTACTTCATTCTCTTTTTCCTCTCATGATTTTCTCACAATTTATATTATAAAAGGTTGTTGGTTATAATAGCTTAATTCGCTTGTTTAAGCTTAATTATTAACAATTGAATCGTTCATTATATTTATTCAAACGTTTTTAACTTTTCAATTTTCTCTCATTTACTTAACATGGGAACTCATTAGATTGTGGTCATCTTTTTGCGCCCATCGGCTCTCCACTGGTTGTAATGATATTATCTTGTAGAGCTCATAAATTGCAATCGATTCACGTATTAGAATAATTGATTGATCATTTACTTCTCTAGCAATTAACTAAAAACCTTAAATTTTCACTAATAATTTAGCACCAAGTAAACTTTTCACACACACGATAATTTTAATGAAATCATCATAGTTTAGACATGAATAGGGTACCGTTAGAAAGACAATTGAACGTAGAATCTACCAATATATTAATCGTTAATTTAATTTGATCAGTCTTTGAGATATGAACCTTAACATTTGGTCGATTCCCAACAATTAAGTTAATCATTTTTTCTGAATTAATTTCATCTCTTTCTTTCTATATTAACTATTATTTTATATTATTATTATTATTACCATTATTCTCGATAATTATTGAGATGATCAACCAACTAATGACCATCCCTGTCCATTAGTTGACCGACAAAGGGTAAACCAAGTTTTACCGTTTTCCTTATTCTTTTCTTTTGTAACAAAATTATTGATTAGTAGTTAGTTGTTTCGTATAGGACGTTATTAACACCTATAGACACCTTCGTTATATATTGTATTCATTTCATATACATTGTACTGTTTTCCTCAGTCCCACTTCCCTTTCCCTAGTAATAACATTGAAGTTAAGAGTTTATATTGTTATAAGATTGTGAGAATAATAATAAGTTGATAATAATCAGTATATATTGTTTAACAATTAAGCTGATAAACCCGAAACATTCGTTTCATTTGGCAAACCAGGCAAGATGTTCTTGTGATTTGTGTACCAACAAAACAAAATTTTGAAGATTCGGGGATTCGAATTATATTCTTTGCTTAGAATGAATTACAAAGAGTGCAGAGAGCTGAGGCTACTCTTCGACGAGCTAGTGATAATGTTTATCAAAGCATAAGTAATTAAATCGATGGTCTGGTGCTGGGGATCAATCAAATCGGAGCTACTATCGACAAACTAGCTTCTCAATTTAATTAATTAGTTTCATTGATTACTAGCAACTTGGTTAAAACGTAGGAGATGGTACCTAGTGGACTGGTTGTTGTGTCAACAATCGCCTCCTCCTTATCCAACTCATTGCGCTATTGGTGGCAAGGGAGATGGTTTTTGAAATTACGTGGCCGATGGATCCATGGGAATTTTACATACCTTGTTCCAGTTTTAATAATAATATAATTAATTATGTGATAATCAAGTTAATGGAGATCTTACTGCAATTTACTCATTCTAACGTGGATTAATGTTTATAAAAATTGAAGGCTTATCTTAACACTTCACTAATTAGAATATCATTTTATTAATTATTACATCACTTTTATTTATTTTAATTAGAGGAGATGGGGAAATTCATCCCCATCGTCTCCAAGGAGACGAGATGAGAATCAATGATACGAGATTTATGTCCATCTGATTTTCGCTCTCAATTATCTCAACAACTTCATAACGCTACTCAACAACCAGGTCAATCAACATCGTCATTCAATTACAAGATCCATGAATTATGTCAACGGATAGATGAGAATATACCAGAGATGATTATGTTGAGCATCATTAAGGAAAAGTTGCTTCCACAAATCCAATATGGAATCGCCTTGCAAAATACTAGAGAATAAGGTTGGAACGATTATGAACATTTGATCTGAAGTCCATCCATTGTTCTTCGCAGCAATCTCTAAGTGATCGAACCATTCGATAACATTATCATTATTTTCTCTATTAAAATACGGGATATGAATAGGGTAATTCATACTAGTAAATTGATCGGATTGTTGTGATGATAACATTTAGGGTTATAGTTATATTCCTTTTATAGTCATTGGATGAAAACCAAAAATTGAAACAATCTAATTTTAACTCACCACAGTAACGAACCAATTAGATTAAAATTTCCCATCGGAGGTTACTTGCAGTAGCTTGAATAAAGTGATTCGCATTGCCCAATTGGCCAAGAAAGAAGAACAGGTCATACCGAAACGAATTGTCACATTAAACTACGATCTTCAATAAGGCTTAATACTATTTCATCCAGTTATCCAACAACAGATAATCAACCATACGTATTACCCATTAATTACGGTCAAAAATTTGAAAGAGATTACCACGGAATCCAATCACAACCATTTAATTATTACATGGTCGATCCAGCAATTCAGATTGAACATTCGCTTCCACGGAGTGGAAGAAACAAAACCCCGGAGACAAGAAATGATGATAATAACGAAAGTAAATCGACTCATCCACGAAAACAATCTATCACTCCAAATAGAAAATCAAAGGAGATAAAAATGGTAATCCAAACTTCTGATCCTAGTGATACGGACGATAATGGACATTTCGCTGAAAATAATACTATATTTAGTTTTGCGATCATGAATGATGACTCATCAGATGAAAATTTAATCCACAATGATGATCCATCTGATACTGAAAATATAAAACATGACAATTTTCTCGTCTACTCAATCAACACAAATGCTCAACCTTCAATCGAATCACCACCTGATCGACAAAAAGAATCTGAAAATAAAACACAAAAGCTGGTCAATGAATCCAATTTTCTTAAACATCAAATCAGATCGGACAAGAAGCGAGAAGAACGACCAGAAGTGAGGGAAAAACAGCCTCAAAATCGACTAATGAATCAGCAAACAATTTACATCATCATGATGCTTATGATACAATTATTTCTTCTCACCGTTTATCAAAAACATGGAACAGATCTAATATGGAAAAACGTTGACCACAATTTCTTCATTAAAAACAAGCTACCATTTATGCATTGGAAACCCTCGCGAGTTGGACTTGACCAGTGGAATGATCACCATAAGACCGGGGAGATGTTGGCAAATGAAATGCTTGGCAACAACTCGTCTCTGGTTAAGAGACGAGTTGTAAACAAAGTTAAAAATAAAGATGAAGATGAAGATGAAAATAAATATACAATGTAACAAATAGACTAGTTCAGTTGGGATGAATTTCCCCTTCTCTTCTAATTAAAAAGTAAAAGTTATAAATTAAAGTAATAAAGTGAATTATTATTCAACAAAAATTTTTAGAAAATTTGTTATTTGAATAAATTATTTGTAAATTAACATTCTCAATGTTAATGTTACCGTATTATATGTTATTAATTGTTATTAATCTAATTATATTAGCTGTTTTTTTGCTTTTTCAACAGTAATCAAAAGAATACTTCTGAGGTGTTAAAACATGGAATGATAACTTCGTTAAGGTGGTAGGGATTGCCATTGATCAAATATTGACGTTAAAACAAAGATTGAAACGACCTGCTCCTAAATCGGTCAAGGAAAAGATCGAAGGTAAGATCAAAGGTAATCAGTTACTCATGAAATATGCTTATTTTCGTTGTTCCGGAATCGAGGATGAAATAGATGGTAAATTTGAAGATCGAACGAAAATTTTGGACAAAGCTCGTGTATGCTTATTGGAATTCTCTGTTTTATTTTATGTTATAAAATTCGATGTACCTGAATATGTTCTTCAGTTTATAATTTCTGAACATAATCAAGTTTATTGTA